AAATCACCCAGGTGACTCAGTCCCCGTACAGTCCAGATTTGGTACCCTATGACTCCTGGCTTTTCCCAAAACTAAAATCACCTTTGAAAAGGAAGAGATTTCAGACCATCAATGAGATTCAGGAAAATATGATGGGGCAGCTGGTGGTGATTCCAACAAAGGATTTTGCAAAGTGTTTTGAACAGTGGAAGAGACACTGGGAGAACTGTGTGAGGTCCCAGGGTACCTACTTTGAAAGGGACTGAAGCATCATTGTCCTATGTACAATGTTTCTTGAATCTTTTGTCTTCTGCAATAAATGTCTCTGTTTTTCATAGTACATGACTGGATACTTTCTGGACAGACCTCATATGTATAACCATGTATGAGATGAGGCAAGTGAGGCTCCGAGGGGGAAAGAGAATGTCCACAAGTAGCAGCTCCTAAGTGGAAGAGCTGGATTCTAACACAGGTCTATTTCTTCCACATCCAGCTGCTCATCCACAGAATTGTTTAGACTTCTATAGGACTGAGTTCCTTTAAAAACTCTGGTGACAGTGACCAGAGGGGAGGGGGAGGGGATTGTAGGGGAAAACAGTGAAGGGTTTGCAGGAGCTATTATAAAAGACACATGGACAATAACAATGGGGGGGCTAGAAACAGGGGAGGGAGGTGGGAAGGGCTGGGGGGAAAAGGCAGAAAACTGTACTTGAACAACAATTTAAAAATGTTTAAAAAACAATACAATTTTTAAAAAATAATAAAATAAATAAAAATAAATAAAAATGAAAACTCTGGAGCAAAGTCATGCAGGGTCAATAGGGTAAGAAGAGTCATGAGTTACCTTTTATAAGCTCTATCAGCTCCCAAGAGAAGGGAGAGGCAGAGAAGGCCAAGATGGTAGGCATGACCAAAGTGGTTTCTAAAAAAGTTTATTTGGGGTTTGATTTGAGAAGAATCTCCTGAAGAACTAGAGGCTTTAAGGTACAGAGAGAGAGAAAAAAGAGAAAAACTTTTCCATCCCTAGGGTAGGGTGTGGAAAAAGGATGCCTACCTGGGGCAAGGTGGAGTTCCTCCAGATTTGAGCACAATAGTCATGAAGACTATTTCCCTCTTGTACCTGGATATGTTTGAACATGTCAGGTATGGAAATTATAGTGCATATACATACTTGCTTGTGTGTAGGTGAGTTACTGAAAAGAACTTCCTAGTCTCCTGGCACCTCTCTCTGAGGTACTCACCCATTTTCATTAGACAGGAGACAATAATGTCGTAACTTTCTTAGAGACTCACTTTGACCTCTCTGAGCCTCAGTTTCCTCATTTGTACCATGGGCTTAGCGTGACCCAGCAGCTCTCTAAACCTGTAGTGTTTAATAGAACTTCTGCAATGATGGAACTGTTCTTTGCCCGCACTGTCTGATATTATAGACACTAGCCATGTCCCTATTAAGTACTTGAAATGTGGGCAGTACACTTGAGGATGGAATTTTTTATTGTATTTAACTTTAACTCATTATAATTTTAATTACCACTTGTGGCTGGTAGCTAACCATATTGGACAGCACAACTCTAGAGCAACGAATTCAGTTTTTTACCCCTTTTAAGCCCTCTCTCATGGGGAAATTTTTATGGTAATTTTTTCCCTCCAGATTAATTATGTTTTGAGTAGTTCATAGGAAAGAATACACCTAAAGAGTCTCACAGAAACAATTCACAGCAGTTAATTTGGCTCTAAAAATTTCTTTTGATAAAGATAGAAATTGCAGTCTGGTCCACACATGTATTTTTCTGCATTCAGCAGCAATATGCTGAGACAGGACACAGATCGAGGCAACATGCATGGCTTAGAAACAGACACTTTGTCCTGGATAAGTGACCCCAACAATTGATGTATTGAGCCCATCCAAAAGCTGTGTCTCTTCCTGCTGCCTTCCTTTGAAAACACTGACTCATCTGATCCTTTAATCTGTAATCTCACTATAAAGGATAGGTATATAGGTAGACAGAGAGAAAAAGAGAAGGAGGGGGAAGAAGAGGAAGAGGATGGGGGTGGGGAAGGGAAGGGAAGGGAGAATCTCCCAGGGTATATTTACTGGGAATTCTGAGAGAGAGAAGTCTCTGCTTCACTACATAACTCTTATCCTTGCTAAAAAACAAAAGCAAAAACAAAACAAAACAAAACAAAAACCCATATCTGAATAAGCCAAAGAAGTTTCAAGAGTTAGAAGAAAGAAAATCCTGGAAAATGTATTAAGTGAAGTCCATATTTTTTACTACAAATCTTCTCTTTATTGAGCTCTTGCTGCTGCCAAAAGACTACACCATTCCCATTACACGTTACCTACAGACTTCTCACAACAGTCCTGTGAGGAGCAGACAATGCCTCACTCAAGGAAGAGGAAGTGGTTGAACAGTAACTCAAAATCAAGAGTTTGTTTACAAAACCTGTGCTCTTCAGTGCCACTATATCTCTCCACCACTATTCTAGCACCTTGGAGCTTGCTACACTCTCAAGGAAGCCCTTTCGACTGGACAATTCTAACCAGAAAAATACTTCTGCTGCTGTGCTGAAATTTGTCTCATCGTGACTAACTCTCTTCTGCACTCTCAACATACACACACATGGCTGCTCGTTCTGTCCTTTGGGGTCACAAGGACGAGCCTGCTCCTGCTTCTGCAGGGTTTAGACATGTTAACCCCGTCCCTCTCAATCTCGGCTTTTTCAACCACGGGATGAACACACACAGATCCACAATCCTTCCTCCTACAAGACATTTTCTAGACTTTCCATTGCCTGATCGTTTCACATAAAGATAAGAATCTTCTGTGCTTTTTAAAGAGTCTCTATAGAATAAGTTGTTCATTCTGAAATTTTAAACGCCCTACTGTCAGAACATGATCCTTCACGTCTGTCCTAAATATCACAAAGTGCAATCTACAGCAATTTCCCTAGATCTATCTTCAAAGGGGACATTAATCAGCCACTTGTCTGCATATGACATTTTTAAAGGTTACTATTTGTACCCTATCTTTTACCTCTCTGGCGTAAATGTGTCCAGTTCTAGCACATTTATCTTCATAAGATTTACCCCATCATCCTTTAGTGATTTCCGCAGCTCCTCTTTGTTCTAGATTCAAGTTGCTGCGTAGTTTATAGGACTAGATTCAATGAGGAGGTCAGTCTTAAGCAAAAGGAGGCTATGGGCCTAGATTTAGGCTAGGTTTTGTTCCTGGAAGCGCAACAAAATTGCAGCTACATTTTAATGTGTGTCTACTATGGTCCTTACATCTGCGCTAATCTATAATTCCCTCTTGAAGAACTTTGACCCCACTTTACAAAGGAGGTCATAGTTTAGACAGGATAAATAGCTTGCCCCAAGTGAGAGAGCTGGTGAGTGGCATTTAAACCCAGTTGTGTCTAATTCCAAAGCTGAGGCATTTTCTACCACACTGAAGATATAATGGGTCTTCCCCAAAGTACAAAACTATAGCTCGGCCCACTATGAGTCAATGGGAAATACACAGCCCTCAAGAATCCCATTTCCTTCCTCCAGACAATGTAGCATTTGGCTGTGCCGATGCACATCTCTTACAAGCACAGTGAAAAATCCTCATTCAGCCCATGCTCTGATCATTATTACCCTAGGCTCATTGCCTTAGAGTCCCAACCAGCAACTCTAATGGCTTTTTAAATGGAAATTTAAGTCATTTAGCAACACACAAAAGTGTTGGCTAAAAGTCCAAAAGCATTTCAAACTGGCCCATGGCTCTTTCTCATTTAAAGCCAAGAATTGATGGGAAGAGGGTGGGAAGAAAGGAAGGACTTTGTGGAAGACAAAGAGAGTTAAAGCAGTTGCAATAGAGCAGGCAATCAACAAATATTTGTCCAGTAAACAAATAAGATGGACCATGCTGGTTTGAGAGAAGAAAAATGACCAAGTTCTCCTCTTCATAATAATTTTGATTCACTCGGCTTGCCTACATCACAGATCCACCAATTCTTATTTAAAAAACTATGGTAATTTGAATGAAAAAGCATACTCAGAAGACGTTTTTTGTTTCTTGTTTGTCTGTGTTTTATTTTGTTATTGTTTCTGTTCCAAGCAGGGAGTAGAGGCCCTAAGTAGATATTATATGACAGTTGGTGAAATACCAAATATGAATATAATTAGGATGTAGCATGGACAGGAAGTTGATTCTATGCGCAGCCAGTGCTTTCTAAGCCCCCAGTTCCCTGCTCAGTCCTACAGAAATGCTTTTAATTCTATTTCCTCTGCCACCTCCCCTGTCTGGGTTTTGCTGTGACTTCCTGTCGTCATGGAAGAGATGATAACTTGGGATCATGCCGATACATGTTACCAGTAGGATGAATTTTATCATTGGGAAAAACAAAAGTTGTGAAACCTTTCGTAGGATTAGTAACCCAAATACCACATCTAATTGATATAAATAACTCACTTAGAGCGTTCAAGTCTAATAATAACACAGGCAAAGGGAAATGTCAACTTGTGAAAAAACAAATAGCCCTCAATCGCTTTCTTGAACTACACCCAGCTCTATTTCCTCGTAAAAGAGGTCTATAAATGACATCATACCGTGTATAGATCATTCTCATATGCACCCAAGCCATACTTTCATCAATATTACAACCACCTAAAGTTTAACCTTGTCTTCCTATTTTTGCTCCATAATTTCTCAACCTCCTTTCACAATTCCTCTGTCCTCTGTTGCCTGATTGCCCCCACCAGTGAAGAGCCATCACACAGATGGGTAAGGCGACTCAGCAGAGTAAGAACTGCCTCACATTAGCACACCTCCTCCAGCCTCGCTTTGTATCTGATCCTCTTTACTTTTAGAGACTCCGGCATATCAGCGCTACAGTGACTATGGAATGAACACCAAGAGAGCTCCAAATAGAGGAGACACAAAGTAAAAATTCACTTACAACTGCAGATAGTCAATAGAGTCGATTAGCAGAAAATACTAATAAGCTTGTTGTTTTTCTTTATTTACTTGTAGAAGAGAATTCCTTCAAGAAGATCAGGAACAACTGATTTAGATTCAACTCTCGGCTTCCAAGTCCCCATCTCTGCCTGAGAGTGAGACACCTAGGATCCTAGAACCCGAGAAACACCCAGCCAAACCCACCTCCGCCATGGGGGCTGTGACTCGGCTCCTGGCAGGCATCTGCCTAGCTTTTCTCGCCCTCAGGGCTGATGGAGGGGTGCTCAAGAAAGTCATCCGGCACAAGCGGCAGAGTGGGGTGAACATCACTCTGCCGGAGGAAAACCAGCCCGTGGTGTTTAACCACATCTACAACATCAAGCTGCCTGTAGGGGCCCAGTGCTCCGTGGATCTAGAATCAGCCAGTGGCGAGAAAGAGCTGGCCCCACCATCGGAGCCCAGGGAAACCTTCCAGGAGCACACGCTGGACAGGGAAAACCAGATCGTCTTCACCCACCGCATCAACATCCCCCGCCGGGCCTGTGGGTGTGCTGCTGCTCCTGACGTCAAGGAGCTCCTGAGCAGGCTGGAGGAGCTGGAGAACCTGGTGTCTTCCCTGCGGGAGCAGTGCACCATGGGAGCAGGCTGCTGTCTCCAGCCTGCTGAAGGTACGAGCTGGGGATGGCCTTGGCCCCTCACTGCACAAATGGGAGAAACGACGAGCGGGGTGGGGTCCATCCGTTGTTTCCACAGTGGGTTCCGGGGCAAACTAGCCCCACAGGGTGATCATTACAAAGAGACATTATGGTCAAATAAACGTAGAGAATGTAACCATCTCTATTCCGCTCTTGGTGACAAATGTTTCTCAGAGGAATTTGCAGGCCTCTGAAGTCTTGCTTCAAAAAAACCTATTTTACTTTAATTGCTAGTTTCTAAAACTTATTTGACCACAAAATATATACATTCCCTACCTCAAAACTTATGTACACATTATGAAATCCCTGACCCAAAGGCCATACTCTGAAAGGTACTGATATAGCCCCATTACCTCACCATACAAATAGGAAGCCAAGACCTAGAAGTAGGATGGGATTCCTCAAGGCTCTGAGATAAGTGGCCAAGTTAGGACTTCAACCACAGTATTGCACACCCTGATGCTGTTACAAATGCACAATGTTTCCCACGGCAGTATGAAGCCTGGGAATTGGAATAAATGCCCTAGCTGGGTGGCAACCATGAGGATGATCACCACTATGGCTGAGCCCCTTTTATGTACATGGCACTGTAATTCATTACCTAATTTAATCCTCCCGCCAACCCTTTAAGATGAGGTGGGACAGTCCCATTCTGCAGATGTAAGAACTGAGACTCAAAGAAGTTGCCCAGCTGACCCCAAGGGTAATGAGAGGCTGGAGCCGTGAACATGCCTGTATGCCGCCCAAACTCCCAGTCTTCCGCTACTGCCCGTCTGCATGCTTCACGAAGAAATGTTGCCACTTTGGATTCGTCCTCATTTCCATTCCCTGAAGTTGATAAAACTGCAAGAGCTTCAAGAGCTTTAAATCAGAGATGAAAATCTCTATTTATACCACTCAGAAAAAAATTACCATAAATTACTAGAACAAATTATTTTAAGAGTAGACCTAATCACCATAAGTACAGAATACTAAAGACATGCTCTGGGATTCTAAGGCAAAAAAAATTTTTTTTTCTTTATGCACAAATTAGGTTGTCTTCCACCTCTCAACTCCCTGGCAGAATAGATGAGAGCTCCACCATAGAATGAATTCTAAAAAGTGGGTGGAAATAATTGCCTAGAGAAGTGCTATCCAGTAGAAATATAATGTGAGCCATCTATGTAACCGTAGATTTTCCAGTGGCCAAGTTAAAGAAATAAAAAGAAACAGATAAGGATAATTCGAATCATCTATTTTGTTTCACCCAATAGAACTAAAATATCCATGTTTCAGCCTGTAATCCATATAAAAACGATTAAAGACACGTAACATTCTTTTACTCTAAGCCCTTGGAATTGGAATGTATCTGCCACTTCAGATACATCTCAGTGCAGATCAGCCAGAGTTCAATTGCTGAATAGCCACATGGGTCCCTCAGCCACCATACTACACAGCACAGGTGTACATTCTCACTTTTCAAATAAACTTTTTCAAAAAAAATTGCCTTCCTGCCTGCTGTAAGGAAGGGGATAAAACATATTAATGCAACTGTATTTGTGTGCAGAGAAAATGGAGTGAGTTTTATTGCTCCTCCTTGGGTTCCACGGGGATCACGCCAGTGGCCCCTGCAAATGGAGCTGAGACAGTCTTTAGACTTTAAAGAGCTGAAGGCATGTCAGCGCTGACCATTCCTCAGACGTGCCACTGCAGCCTCCGGGAAAGAGAGGGGGAAAAAGATAGAGCCTCGTGAGTTTTGTGGGGGCAGAGCCAAATTGCAAGTTGTGCTGACAGAATTAGAAAGCCACGACTTAACTGCCTCATTTCAGTTATGGAAAATTAGAAAGTGTTGGTCGCGTGAACCCCTATGACAATGTGAGTGAACCCAAAAAACCCATAAAGAGAACATTATGATGAGCACCACAGTCAGCTCCTGATGTCCCCATTTAACCTTGGTAGACCCCAGGGAAGTGCTCTGATGGTCCCATTAAACCGATGAAGAAACTGAGCTCCAGAAAGAGCCTAAAGCCCCTCCCAAAAGCAGCACAGAGATTGAGTCAAAGAATCAGAACTGGGTTCAGTTCAACAACGATCTCTTGGATGTCTCCTATATGCCCGACCTTGGTTGGACACCAAAGTAGCAACAGAGCCCTACATAACACGTTCCACAAGGCGGTGATCCATAACCACCTGCGGTTGTGGGACTATGTGAAAATGTGGTGGAAACTAGGGATCCTCTCCCTAGGGGTGGGAACAGACACACACACACATACCTACAAACCGAAGCACACACTGTCTTTGCATGGAAGTTACACATTTCAGAGAGTTCAAGTTAAGAATTCCTACCATCTGATTTCACACACTAAGCTTCTGGTTTTCAAGCCAGATGTGGCCCAGGGGTGCAACCGTGCTCTGGCTGAATTTGATTCTGAGTTTCGCAGGTAGAAACTGAGAAATTGGGCTGAGAGCCTCTGTTCTGTTTGTTGCAGGCCGCCTGGACACCAGGCCCTTCTGCAGTGGCCACGGGAACTTCAGCACTGAAGGATGTGGCTGTGTTTGTGAACCTGGCTGGAAAGGCCCCAACTGCTCTGAGCCCGACTGTCCAGGCAACTGCCACCTGCAAGGCCAGTGCCTCGACGGGCAGTGCATCTGTGACGAGGGCTTCACCGGGGAGGACTGCAGCCAGCTGGCCTGCCCCAGCGACTGCAATGACCAGGGCAAGTGCACGAATGGGGTCTGCATCTGTTTCGAAGGCTATACCGGCGCTGACTGCAGCCGGGAGGTCTGCCCGGTGCCCTGCAGCAAGGAGCATGGCAGGTGTGTGGACGGCCAGTGTGTGTGCCAGGACGGCTTTGCCGGCGACGACTGCAATGAGCCCCTGTGCCTCAACAATTGCTACAACCGTGGGCGCTGCGTGGAGAACGAGTGTGTGTGTGATGAGGGCTTCACTGGCGAGGACTGCAGCGAGCTGATCTGCCCCAAGGACTGTTTCGACCGGGGCCGCTGCGTCAACGGCACCTGCTACTGCGAAGAAGGCTTCACGGGGGAGGACTGTGGCCAGCTCACCTGCCCGCACGCCTGCCACGGCCAGGGCCGGTGCGAGGCGGGGCAGTGCGTGTGCCACGAGGGCTTTGCCGGCGTGGACTGCAGCGAGAAGAGGTGTCCCGCCGACTGTCACCACCACGGCCGCTGCACCGACGGGCAGTGTGAGTGTGACGATGGCTTCACGGGAGCTGACTGCAGTGAGCTCCGATGCCCCAACAGCTGTAGTGGCCACGGCCACTGTGTCAACGGGCAGTGCGTGTGTGACGAGGGCTACACTGGGGAGGACTGTAGCCAGCTGCGGTGCCCCAACGACTGCAACAGCCGGGGCCGCTGCATCGAGGGGAAGTGCGTGTGCGAACAAGGCTTCCAGGGCTACGACTGCAGTGAAATGAGCTGTCCCAATGACTGTCACCAGCACGGCCGCTGCGTGAATGGCATGTGTGTCTGTGATGATGGCTACACCGGTGAGGACTGCCGGGATCTGCGGTGTCCCAAGGACTGCAGCCACCGGGGCCGCTGTGTGGAGGGGCAATGTGTGTGTGAGGACGGCTTCACCGGCCGCGACTGTGCGGAACTCGCCTGTCCCAGCGACTGCCACGGCCAGGGCCGCTGCGTCAACGGGCAGTGTGTGTGCCACGAAGGCTTCATGGGCAAAGACTGCAAGGAGCGAAGGTGTCCCAGCGACTGCCACGGTCGAGGTCGCTGCGTGGATGGCCAGTGCGTCTGCCACGAGGGCTTCACGGGCCCAGACTGTGGGCAGCGTTCCTGCCCCAATGACTGCAGTAACTTGGGACAGTGCGTGGCAGGCCGCTGCATCTGCAACGAGGGCTACACCGGGGAAGACTGCTCGGAGGGTGAGTACTGGGGCTCAAACTAGCAAGATAAAGGCCACAACATCTGGTTTGTGTTGGAGAACTAAGTGTTATATTAAAACACACACATGCAAACTCTTTGAAGGGGCCCTGGTTATTCAACTCTTACAGGGCTACCTATTTGAGTCTAAGAGGCTCAGAGAGGTCATGGAATTCTCACAAGGACACACGGCGAATACATCACAGGGCTGACATTTGAGTCTGCCTAACTTCTCTGCACTGAGTTTGACACCTAGTAGCCAGTATGAAGTAGATGAAATGATAACCTCCCTTTTGCTAAGCATCAACCTTCTTTCCTACTTCCCACTGACATTGAACCAGTCAGAAACCAGATTCCTCTATTTGGCTGGGAATAAAAATTCAGCTAAATTAAATGGGCAGTGAGATTATATAAAACAAACTGTTTTACATGCACAATCAGCTAAAGACTGAATGCTGACTACTTACAAGGCAGGCCCGTCTCTTAATTAATCTTTTCTGTGCTGTCTTTGGTCCCAAGAAAGGTGAACTCCTTAAAGGAACACTACCCCTGCAGTTAGCACAAGACATGGTCTGTAGTACGTACACAGTAAAACATTGGTTGAGTGAAAACACAAAGAAGAGTGACATGTTCATGCTTAATAAGGACCTTCTTTGTACTTCTCTCATCCATCCATATTATGATTGTCATAATGGAGAACTGCTACCTTGATTAAAACTAATGGCAGATAAGAATAAACACATGGCTCTGAGTTTAATGTGGCCGAGGTGGAGAAGCTGGGTGGGAAGAACCCCAGGCTGGCAGGGAGATGTGAGTCCACATTTGATGAGATGTGCTAAGCTGGGCAGGTCCCTCTACTTCAATCACATCTAGAAAGTGAAAAAGTTGGGCCAGGTGAGCCCAAAACACCCTCCCAGGCTTGAAGTGCAGAGCAGGGAGCTAAGGTCAGGCTGCCCCTTCCCACGCAGATGGCCTGAATCTGAACCAGGGTCCAGGGAACGGAGAAGTCAGAGGAAACAGGTCACAAAGAACCCTCAAGGCTGCATGGCTGACCTGGAACTTCAGCCTGGTGGCAATGGATGGCCACCAAAGCTTTTATAGACAGGTCACAGCAGCCATTCCTTCATGAGTTCTGCATCTGAGAAGATGGAAGCTAGATTTCGGGCCTCTGTGGACTGCCAGTGGAAGAGAGGATTTATAGGAAACATGGCTGACCCCAGCTGTCCTTTCTCATTCCCATCAGTGTCCCCTCCCAAAGACCTCATTGTGACCGAAGTGACAGAAGAGACTGTAAACCTGGCCTGGGACAACGAGATGCGGGTCACAGAGTACCTTGTGATGTACACACCCACCCACGAGGACGGCCTGGAAATGCAGTTCCGGGTCCCCGGGGACCAGACGTCCGCCACGATCCGGGAGTTGGAGCCTGGCGTAGAGTACTTTATCCGGGTGTTCGCCATCCTGGAGAACAAGAAGAGCATTCCCGTCAGCGCACGGGTGGCCACTTGTGAGTGAGCAGAACCACCCTGGGCAGCCTCAATTGCCCCCTCTTGCCCAGTGCATGACTGTTCCCATGAGTCATCGCCTTGCCCCTGCCCCCCAAACTCCATGGCTGTCCTTTCATAGTTGCACCCATTAAGGCCCTGGAATCCAGTGAAGCCCACTGAATGTTTTCGTAAAGAAACTCCTCATATACTAACTCATTTAAGTCACAATAACCCTGTAAGATGGGAGCTATCGTTAATCTGTTTTACAGATGAGGAAACTGAGATTCTGTGATTATCTCATCCCAAATCACACAGTTAATAAGTGGCAGAGATGGGGTTTGAACCTTGGCAGTCTGGTTGCAGATTTATGCTCTTAAATGCTAGATTCTACTACTACATTCTTATGCAGCTCACTGTCTATATATATATATTAACACTGGAAACACAGGGTTCAAATTTTTCCTTTAAGAGTCCAACATCAGTATAATTTTCTTCATACCTGAAAAGCAAGTTGGGCTAGAAAGTGGTCTTTTTTTGTTTAATTGTAGTAACACTGGCTGCCATGTTAGACTCATGCTCCATGCCAGGGATATGCCCATGCATCTACATGCACCATACCGCTCAGCCCCCAGTACATTCCCAAGGGGCAGGCATGCTTACCTCCTTCTCTCAAGTGAAGAAACCGAAGCTTGGGGCATTTTGTGCAATTTGCCCAAGTACACAAAATTTGTAATTGAAGAACTTAAATTCTAGCCCAGGTCTGTCTGATTCCAAAGCCAGGAGTTTATATTATAAATCCTAATATATGTGCACATATTAGGTTTAACCCTATAAAATTTCCAAAACTTAATCATATGGTTTGTCCTAATACTCCTTTCATATGGCCTCACAGTAGACAGCATCCCAGAGGAGCCCTTGAATAGACTCCAGCTCGAATGATCAGCCCTTGACTGTGGCAGACACCGCCCTTGGAGTCAGTGGAGCAGGGCTATGGAGCCTCCACCACACTCGTTGCCATCCTTACCTCCTCTCTGTGCTTTCCCTGACAGACCTGCCTGCACCTGAAGGCCTCAAATTCAAGTCCATCAAGGAGACATCTGTGGAAGTGGAGTGGGATCCTCTGGACATTGCTTTTGAGACATGGGAGATCATCTTCCGGAATATGGTAGGGAGCACAGAGCAGCGGGCATGCAAGAGTCTAAAAGGTGGTCAAAGGCCACTGTAAACTTTCATATCAACGTTAGTTCCTTGACTTTTGGTGAGGGACAAGGCTGTAATTGGCCCTAGTGTGTTTGCATAGACATTTTAAGTGACTTTAAGAAGTCAATAAGCATAACACTTAGGGCTGAGAGCCCTGTTAGACCAGGGGCATCACACTCATTTTCACTGGGAGCCACATCAGCCTCACAATTGCCTTCAAAGGGCCGAATGTAACTTTAGGACTGTGTAAATGTAACTACTCCTTAACTAAGGACAAGGAGCTCAGCACTGCCCTGGGTAGAAACAAGGTGGAGGGCCGGATTCGGCCCACAGGCCTTGTGTTTGCCACCTGTAGCCTAGACAAAGAGACTTTAACTCTAGGTTTTAATTATTTCTCATAGTCTTGAAAATCTCTACTCAGAGGCAAAGAAGAGAGAAAATGGCCTCTGGGCCTGAAGTACATGCGAAGCAGGGTAGTGGGTTCCTGAGCTCAAGCCCAGGCTCTGCCACTAACTATCTATGTGACTATGAGACAATCACCCAACTTCTGTGATGCTGACTTCTTATTCTATCAGAAGAGAGAGTAAATCTGTGGCTCCAGAACTGCTCTGGCTCTCACATTCTGTCACTCAACTTGAGTGTCAAAGGGGTGAGCTGGGAAGTTTATGAGAGAAACACACTTGAGAAATGTCTTTATCATTTCTGTATCCTCAGCACCTACCAAACTGATAAGTAACTGGTTAGTGGATAGAAGAAAGAATAAAAGAGGAATGAATGAATGTGAAATGAATGCATTGTGTAAGTAAAGAGGCCGGCACCTTTTATAGGTCTTACCAGGGGGCCTCTATCTTTCAGAATAAGGAAGATGAGGAAGAGATCACCAAAAGCCTGAGAAGGCCAGAGACCACATACCGGCAAACAGGCCTGGCTCCTGGACAGGAATATGAGATATCTCTGCACATCGTGAAAAACAATACTCGGGGCCCAGGCCTAAAGAAGGTGACAACCACCCGTGAGTATCACCTTTAATATCACCGACACCATGATAAAGCCGATTGTAACTCAGGATTTCTGGTTAATAACATGCCCTCTTCCTAGTGCCTGTATCAAGTAGCTTTTGCTATAGAAAAACCAAGGCCAAATCTTAGTGGCTTAAAACAATAATCCTACACATTGATGATTTGAGGTTGTGCTCCACTCAACAGATTTTGTGTTCTTGACTGGGCTCACTTATGCACCTGTGTGGGCTGGGGGCTGGTGGGTCCAGGTTGGCCTCATCCAGAGTGATGCCTTTCTGCTCTACTGGTCCCTCAGCCTCCAGGATGCTACCCCAGCCCTGCTCTTATAGTAGCTAACCAGGTTGAAAACTGGCACTAATATTTTCTCAGAGCAAATCTCAAGGCCAGTCCAGGTGTAAGGGATAAGAAAACAGGTCCATCTCTTGAGGAGTATAGCTTCAACCTGATATTGCAAAGTGGCCAGGGTACAGGAAAATTGAGACCACTGCAAACAATCTACCACATCATCTAATTTAATATTTGCACCAGACCTGTAAAAGAGGTCGGGCAAATATCAATGGTATTATTTTTCAAGAGTAGAAACTGAGACTGAGAAACATTAAATTAATTTAATCAATACTACATGGTCAATACTGTCAGGACCACCATTTTAAGCCAGGGTCTCATTTTACTACATGAACCCCATTACCACCAGCATTGACTAGGCTCAGGTTTATGCAGAATGTTGACTCCATGTCTTCAACAGGAATCGAAACAAAAGGTTACTCGATCCTAATCAGGTCAGAACTTCTTGGAGGTAGAATAGGATTCGACACTGCTAGATCATCTGATGGGGGAAAAAAATCCAAACTTGGAGTTGTTCTACCAGAAAGCAACGTTTTAATAAATAAATGAATGAATGAATAAATAAATAAATAAAATTATTTTTCATTGCCATTTGATAAAACCTGTTTATCTTTTTTTAAAAATAACATATGTACCACCTGCTTAAGGAATTGACTCTTCTTGGCAGAGCATTGTTGGAAAGTTAAATCTTTCCACCAGCAGACTGCTGTTGGCTAATGACAAGAAAGAATCTCTTGCATTTAAATACTTGCATACTTTGTCTAGCTCAGAGCCAACTCATGGAATTGTCTCCTTTATAAACAAGCATTTCCATCATCCTGACAACGTCCCTCTGTGGTAGGTAGAAGGCAGGTACCAGCAGGAAAAAATCATTGGATCATCAGAAAGGCATAAAAAAGATCAAGCAAATACTTATTTGCTATATAAGACACACTGAGAATACAAAAGACCTTTCTTTCCTTGGCCCTTTTCTTTGTAATTTAAACATGGGGATTGGCTGCTTTATTTTCATCTTACTGCAGGACAAACATCCGAACGTTTGATGTTCCATAATCACATAAATATCAACACTGAGAGGCAGATATTTACCTGTTCACTTTGCTGCTACCTGAGCGATTTCTTTAGTTTAAAGAACCTTAAAGTTTTGGTGCCAGAACATTTTTTACTCTTTCCCTTTGATCTTTATAGAGTTTGTATTACAACCATTTTTGGCCCATGAATTTTTTTGAGAGGCCTTCGCATTTAGAGGAGAAAAGGCTTGGGCTTTGGACCCAAACAGTCCTGAGTTTGAATTCCAGGTTTACCACTCACTAGGACCTTGAGCAGTTTCACCTCTATAAAGCTCTGACCCACCATCTGGAAAATGGGTTCATTGTATCCTACTTGTGGAGTGGTCATGAGAGTTAAGACGTAAATGACAAAGCACTGTGCTGGGCACATAAGCATAGGGCAATGCTGGTCTCCTCGGTTCAAGCCTCCCAAATCTAGGGAGAGATCAGTGCCCTTGGCTGAATCCCAACTTCTTTAATAACAGAGCTGCTAAGGTAGATAGTAGGTGTGACGGGGGTGCTTGCTAGCCCCTGTCAGAACATGGGAGAGGCAGCTTCACTATTGAATTATAGCATCATTTACACTGTGCATTTTATGGGCTCATTATCTGTGAGCTGACACTAAGATGTCAACAACTGGAATTAAAGAAAAGAGATGGTAGGTTTCTCACAGTCAGCTATGAATAATTCCTTCTTTTCATTCCCCTTATAAAACCAAGCTCCTTTCATTTGCTATTGTTTCCTCAACCAATACTGAAAACACGAACTTAACTACTTTTTAAAATGAAGAAAGAAGGAAACATTGACTGAATGCCTAGCAAGTCTTCGTTTTAGGTATTTACTGAATGCCTGGAATGTTTTAGTGTTTGCACTGAAATTGTTTATGTAATTAAAAAAAATAGACTTAAGACATAAATGACAGAGCCTGACTCTATGCTGGGGATTAAGAAAAATCAAAGACCCTTTGTCTGAATGAATGAATGACCCTATCTAAATTGAATAATCAGTATACTTTGAATAAACTGTATAGAAATCTGTTGCATACAGAAAGAAAATTACACTATTAAAATATTCTTCCTTTTAATTGTGGTAAGAACATTTAGTATGAGATTTGCCCTCTAGACAAGTTTTTAAGTATATAATACAGTATTGTTAACTATAGGTACAATATTGTACAGCAAATCTCTAGAACTTAATCACCCTGATTAACTGAAGCCTTTTACCCTTTGGAGAGGGAATATCTGTTTACCTGATTGTAACAGGGTTACAATCTCATTAGGAAATGACCAATAAATGGGATTCTGAAGGGTAAGTAGGAGATTTTTAGATGGAGGACAAGCAATTGTGGGGAGCAGGAACCAAGGAACAGCCAGTGGAGAGGCCAGGAGGGGAGAAACAGCATGAATTGCTCTCAGAGCACTGAGCAGCCTGCTGTCGGAGCTCCCAAACCAAAGGGTGGACAGAGCAGGAGGTGAATAACAGGGCAGGAGGAAGGCCACGCTGAGGAGACAAGGAGAGGCAGCCATGACTTTCCTTCCTGAATCCTTTTCATCAAAAACAATTTCCCATATGCTGGTGAGACAGTCATTGCCTCAATTTCCGGTGCCATAATTCTAATGGAGAAGTTACCGACCATCCAGAGTGTTGCCTAGTTAAAAAGGCAGAAGAGACTAAGTCAATGTTTTTTAAATGAAGTAGCCCCAAGCTTGTTTCTTCAACTTATGAAAACAGTACTAATAATACTAACTGAGTAACAACCACCTATGATGTGGCTGCTGTGTCCCAGACTGCATGCTGGACGCTTTGCAAGCATTGTCTCCTTTACTTTGAGAAAAACAACAAACCCTACCAGGTAGCTGTCATCATCCCTACGTACAGCCTGTCAAACAGGCAACTGAGGCTCAGAAGAGAAAGTAAGGTTGAGTGGTCAGTACTACACCTGACTATACAGAGGTGGATGGCGACGGCTGCCTATGTGCTCCGCCCTGGCACAGCCCCCGCGGTCTCTGAAACAGCTCTGTCCTTTGCTGGTCACAGGCCTGGATGCTCCCAGCCAGATGGAGGTGAAAGACGTCACAGACACCACGGCACTGGTCACCTGGTTCAAGCCCCTGGCCGAGATCGATGGCATCGAGCTCTCCTATGGGATCAAGGATGTGCCGGGCGACCGCACCACCATCGATCTCACGGCTGATGAGACCCAGTATTCCATCGGGAACCTGAAGCCCGACACTGAGTACGAGGTGTCCCTCACCTCCCGCAGGGTCGACATGGCCAGCAACCCTGCCAAAGAGACCTTCACAACAGGTAAGAACACTCCGTCCCCCTCTGCACTGGGGTGTCTTCCCAGCTCCGTTTACAGCAAGAAACTACAAAGGGAATTTTCATTCCTTTAAATTTTATTTTCAAATATTGTACTGGTTGATTGATTAATTTTTCAGAGAAAAAAATACCCAAAGTAACCTTTCATAGCAATATATACACACACACACGTGTGTATATATACAAACATACACATACATACATTTATGTATATATACATATACATGCATATATGTGTATATACACACACATAGTTGCATACATAGAAGGTGCAGGTCTGACATTCTCAGACAAAAGTTCTAGTACAAAATTTTTAAATATAATTTTTAATAATAAAATATAGTATATGGAAAACATGAATGACAAAGATGCCTCCTAACCTCTTAGCCTATGGTATTTTTTTTAACATACCAAAGTGTCATCAGTCATCCAGTACATACTTTTTCAGAACTCAGTAAGCACTATGTGAGTTACTGGAAATGCACTGATGAACTCAACAGACCAGTTCTTACACTAATAGAGCTAATTTGTAAGTTTCCGTATAGTTTTTTTAAGCACAAAATCTGAGGAAAGCATGAATGACTCAAGTATCACATATATTAATAATGGGGAAAGGTGTCAAATATGTCATATTTGTTTGGATTGTACATCAGCTATTGAGACAGGTATGTGGGCAATTTTTCTCCAATGGTGAGAACTTTCACGTCTCAGCTTGAACTGTGAGACCCCCCCGAACCTGGTGTTTCCAATACAGATGTCCCTCCCCCTCCCACGCAGGGCTGGATGCTCCCAGGAACCTCCGCCGTGTCTCTCAGACTGACAGCAGCATCACCCTGGAGTGGAGGAACGGCAAGGCCGCGATCGACAGCTACAGAATTAAGTACGCACCCATCTCTGGAGGCGACCACGCTGAGGTCGAAGTCCCGAAGAGCCAACAAGCCACAACCAAGACCACACTCACAGGTGAGCTCCACATGGCAGACCCAGCCAGCCCCGGGACACGGCCCCATGTGGCAAACCTCCAGTGACAGAACACGGTACAGTTCCCAGCAACTCCTCTCCCTGGGATGTCAGTTAGTCTTGAGAGCATTCCAAACACTGAAAAATCATAGCCTCCAGAGAAGGGGGTGCATTTTTATGATCCTCTGAAAGGCTTTTCGATTTGAAGCTGAATTTCAACCTGTACATTCTCTCTTAGGCCTGAGGCCAGGAACTGAATATGGGATTGGCGTGTCTGCTGTGAAGGGGGACATGGAAAGCAATCCAGCCACCATCAATGCGGCCACAGGTGAGGCACACCGGACTCCTACTGCACCCCTCCGCCCTGCGCTGGCACTAGCAGACACAGGGCTCCGGAGGCAGAAAATCTGCTTTAAAAGAAACAGTAGATGCTCCAATGAGAAAGGAACCCCTAGGATCATCCAGCCCAGATGTCTAACCCCACAGTAACGTGAGCACACCACTCCCAAACGATGCCGACACTGCTCTCTCAGGAAACGGAGCAGCGGGTTTCTTTTTAGGAAAAATTGGAAACAGACTTTATAAGAAATCTACAAACTTTTTAAAGTTCATAACTCATTTCATGTTTTGTTTTGTTTTTTTAATGCCATTCACTAATGCAAACACATCTGCAGGGTTTCTGTTAGAACACACTAAGTTACTTTAAGTGGCAGGAGCACAGGTTAAGTCAGAAGTTGCTCTTACCCACTGCATCCTGAGGCTCTGACTTCTGGGTAAGGATGGTGAAGAGCTACCTGATTCGAAGCCCTTGCTTCTTTCTTCAAGGTTTTTCTTTTCTTCTGGAAAACATAAAAAAAAACCACTTTCCTCTATCTCTCTGCCAATCTCCTCCTGACATACCCCTAAATATTGTGAAGAAAAGGGAGGCCAGAGTGCAGGGGGGACATAACTCATGCTTCACTGAGCTTTCTCATTATGCAGGAGCCAATGCTGAGCACTTACATATTCTTTTTGAGCGTTTTATTTTAAGGTAACTGTAGATTCACATGCTGTGAAATAATATAGAGACTCCCCCTAAGCCCCTCCCCCAGCTTCCCCCAGTGGTAACAACTGTTTAATTATAAAACAATATCACCTGGCCGGTGTGGCTCAGTGGATTGAGTGCTGGCCTGTGAACCAAAGGGTCACCTGTTTGATTCCCAGCCTAGGGCACGTGCCTGGGTTTCAGGCCAGGTCTCCAGTTGGGGGGTGCACAAGAGGCAACCACACATCAATGTTTCTCTCCCTCTCTTTCTCCCTCCCTTCCCTCTCTCTAAAAATAAATAAATAAAATCTTTTAAAAAATCCTAACATTAAAAAAAAACACAATATCACAACCAAGAAACTGACATCAATATATTCAGATGTCGCCAGTTTTACACACACTCATCTGTGTGTATTAACTTCTATGCAGTTTTATCACATGTAGATTTTTGAATGGCCTGCTACAGTCAAGACCTGGAATAGTTCCATCATTGGGATCTCTCTTCCTTTTTCACAGCCATGACACCTCCCTCCCCGTCCCTAACCCTCAGCAATCAGTGATTTGTTCTTTATCTCTATAATTTTGTCATTTCAAGAATGCTACTTAAAAGGAATCATATAGTAGGCAACCTTTTGAGACTGACTTTCACTCAGCATAATTCTCTTGAGATCCATCCAGGTTGTTTTCGTATCAATAGTCAATCCCTTATAAATGCTCTTAATTGAGTAGCATTTCGTGGTATGGACGTCCCACTATATTCTTTTCAGTCTTCCACAAATCGGGTGAGGTAACGTGCAACAGCATTTACACAGGTGAAAGCTGGGACCCAGTTAGGTGAGTCTCCTGAAGCCACCCGGCCAGTCTACCGCGGGACGCGGGGCTGCAGCCCCGAGCCCGCTGACTTTCAGTCCCAGAAGCAGCCTGCCTCACAGCCTGCAGAGGGTTCATCTCTGTGTCTTCCTCCCAGATATGGACGCACCCAAGGACCTTCGGGTTTCTGAGACGACGGAGACCACCCTGACCCTGTTCTGGAAGTCACCATTGGCCAAGTTTGACCATTACCGCCTCAACTACAGCCTTGCCTCGGGCCAGCCAATGGAGGTGCAGCTTCCCAGAGACACCACTTCCTACGTCCTGAGAGGCCTGGAACCTGGGAAGGAATATTCCATCCTCCTGAGAGCAGAGAAGGGCAGGCACAGGAGCAAGCCCGCGCGGGTAAAGGCGTCCACAGGTGAGGTTAGCCCCTGAGCTCCCTGCAGACACTGTTGACTGAGAGGTTGGCAGACCCAGCTGCTGGGCTGTCTTCACACAAGAACACCAGATGGGAAGTCCTGCCACTTTCCCTACTCACATAGCCTCTACATGCCCCTTTGAAAGAGCTACTCACTTATCTTTTCCTTTTGTCGACTGACTAGGCAAAGTTCCCTTGCTGGGTAATCAATAGTGGTTTTCAACTATTTCTCCCTAGGAAAACTGAAACCATCGGGATTTCTGCTTGTTTTTGATTCTTTTTAAATTTTATTTTGTGCACTGTACAGAGTCTTTTAAATTGTTTGTTGTCCCCCTCCCCCTTTAGCCTAAAAATTAATTTACTTTTCATTTTATTTCTTTTCAAGATGACCATGATGGTGGTAATAATTCTTTGGTTATTTTTCATTAAATGTTTCTATTCCAGGTCTTTAGCTTTCCTCTAAGGTTACTGCAAATTTACATATGGTCCTTGGAGCCTTCCAAGGTACCCTTCTCATTTTCTCTTTTCTCTTAGTCATTAAGAGGGAATTTCATGGCCCCATGGTGGCAAATCTGACCTCCAGTGTCCCTTCTCACCCAGTCATTCCATACTTTGTACCTGCTGCCACACTTCCTCAGTAGCAAAAATGAAAAATAAACACATCATTTCTTCACATGTGAAAAATATGCACATATAATTTTGGCCCCCAAATATAAAAGATGTATAGTTGGAAAATGTTAATTCATCAGGGTTTGACAAATAATAGTCTGTAGTTTCAATGTAATTATTTCTTGAGAACCCACTTGAATACATTGTAGTGTGCTGATACTTGAGGGACAAGTGGGTCACGTACTTGGCATTGTCATTCTGGCTCCCATGCTCCTGCTCACAGACCTGAAGGCTAGACATTCAGAATGCTAGATGGGACTCAATCAAGGTAAGGGAGTGATGAGAAGAATCAGGAGCCATAAGAGAAAGTGTCATGGCAGAGCTGTTTTACTCTAGCTGACTCTCCATAAACAGAAAAGAGGTTGTAATGGACAAATTTGGAAGTGCCTTTGAGTCTTTTCCAAAGGTAAAAGTACCCTTTTTTGTACCCTCTGAAGGTACAAAATGTACTTTCAAAATTTGGAAATGGCTCTGAGTCTTTTCCAAAGGTAAAAGTACCTTTTTTTGTACCTTTTGAAGGTACATTTACAAGTACCTTCACCACCATATTATATAAATCTCAAATAACAGTCACTTAAGCAAAAGTTGGTCTCCTCTATAAAGTATGTCTGAGGTTCAGTGATTCAGGGATAGTTCCAAATTATCAGTGACTCCAGCTCCTACTCTCCTCATTTCTCCATTCTTGGCATCCATTCCCAAAGTCACCTCCATGTCACAGCATGGCTGCTGCAGTACAGCCTTCATATCTGTGTTCTAGGAAGCATAAAGGGGGAAAAAACAAAACCAAAAAAGAGTAGCTACTAGATGAGTCTTTCTGGAAACCTCACCAATGACTTCACATTTTATCAGCCATTCCAAGCTATAAGAAAGATAGTCTTCTGGCTGAGCATGTTGCTGCCCACATGAAAATATGGCTGTTTATAAGTAAGAGAGAGAGGGAAGGACTATTTGTCAGGCAAAAGGTAGCCCCTTCAGAGAGTCTAAAGTGAGCTCTGGTGGTCAAGTCTATGGATTGTGCATGGACTGCTTCCCTCCCAGCTCTGAGATGATCATCAAGGATCCTATGGAAAGGAAGCTTAGTCATAGGTGAGGGAGGGACAGAATAGAACCAGGAAGGATTAAATCCATGGTAAAGAGGTGAATGTTTCAGCTTGTTATAAGGTATCAAGGGATAACAAAGAATCAGAAAAACAAAAAATAGGAAATTCCTCCACCTTTTTTCTTCCTCTTCTTCCTTCTCCCCCTCTCTTCCTCTTTCTCTTTGCTCTTCCCTGAGTTTGACAAATACTGAATCATAGAGAGTTCCCTAGCTCCATCTAATCATATTACCTTGTAGCCACATTATCTCCTACCTCCAGTAGGGAAACACAGGCCTCAGAGGCTCAGAGAGATGAGAGCTTCCAAATGAACCACAGGCTGGAACTACTTTGTCTCTGACTGAGAGTCCAGTTTTGGCACCCCAAAGGCTCATGATTTCATCTCCCAGGCATGCCTCCTTAACGCTGTTTCACAGAAATCATGTTAGATATTTAAATACATTCTCCATTATAGAAAAAAAAAGGGTGCACAGTCCCTTTTATTGGTTCTTTACCCATTGTCTCCATAATATTTCTCTATAGCTTTCTCCATAGAATTATTTTATTTTATTAAAAGTGAGGTGGACATTTCTTTCCTTCTCCTGAATTCTGTCTTCCCAAGTCTCTTACATTTACTACAGCCAACAGTATACTACAAATGTGCTCTGTGCTAAGTTCTGGGGATGCTAGAGCAATTAAGACAGGTTTGTGCTCTGGGGAAGTCATGATCTAATAAACAGAAAACACGACACTCCCCTTGCTGTAAATGGGAGGCAGAGCATGCAGCAGGAACACAGAATGCCTTTGAGAATCAGGCCTAAAATGGGAGTAAGCTTTTGGACAGACACAGAGAGGCAAACAGGACTGTGTTGTGGAATATGTAAAGAAATAGGAGTCCAGGCTCCCGGCCTTTATAAGCATGTGGGAAAGAAAAAGAAACAGGAAAAGTGGGAGCTCTTGGGTAGATGTGTTATGTGGTTATGAGTCCTGAAATGTCAAAGGACTATAGGTTCTAACTTCAGAAAAAAGGGACTCCCAGTTCTGCATCACTAGATTCTTAAAAGCAGAAGTCTGCGAAGTGCCACTCATTGTCTGTGGGTTTTCCACAGAAGCTATGGAATTGGCTTCCCCAAAGCATTTTTCCCAGGGAATTCCAGGGTTCTAGCTGCAGAATTGAGCCAGAGTGAAAACCTTTTCCTTGATGTGGCACCAAATTAAAAGTATGCAGAATCTAGCTGCCAATCACACATGCAATAACATCCAAAGACCCTACCACAGACCGCACAACCCAACAGACTCTGGCCCTTTCTGTCTCTCTGACCCGGTTACCACCATTCATTCCCTTACTCATTTCCCCATTGTCACCTCAGCCTTCTCCCTGTTCCTTAAGTGTGCCAAGGCTGCTCCTTCCTACCTTAGGGCCTTTTCACATGCTCTTCTTGCTGCCTAGTTACCACTGTTCTCTTAGTTCTTCCCATGGCATCTTCCTCATTGCATTCAGCTCATGTGTTATCTCAAGAGCTGAATGCAATGTGTTATCTCTTTTCTGGCCACTGATATAAAATGGTGCCCCCATCCTGATTTACCCCTCCATGCATTCCAGGGTTCCTCTTGACACTTACCTGGCCTGATATTATCCAGGAATTGGTTTACTTATCTATTGTCTAGCTCCTACTACCAACCAAAATGTAAGGACTCTGCCTCTATCCAGCACTATATCCTCAGGGCTTTGGACACAGGCAAGCACAAGGCATGTGCTTTATGAGCATGTAGGGACCTCAGTTGTTTAAGCAGCTAGGGAAAAGGTCAAAGCTTCTCCTTGAGTGTTTTGTTCTTAAAAATAACCAGCTTAAAATAATAAATTTTCCAAAAAGGTATATTTTAAGGCAGCAAACTACTTAACACTTTATCATCTACAAGATGTTGGGAATCTAAAGATCTGAAATTGGCACAGCCAGAAATTCCTTCAGGCCAGCTGGTCAACCCACCATCAGCCCAGAAATGGGATTTCGAAATTCTCATTTCCCAGGCCCACTAACATTGTTCACAGGGTAGATGCCAGTGCACAGCTGGAAGAAAAAGACAACAGCCTTTTCATAAAGAAATGCCAGGAGATTGAGTATGGAACTATACAACAGAAATACTGGGCTTCCCGGGCAGTGAGCCCCCAGTGTGTCATTTGCTGTTGAGATGTACAGTCAACGTTTACTGTGGGAAGCCTCTTGGGCCCCACCTCAGCTCTTGTCTGCTGAATTTTATTAATATCAGTATATCCCTTTTTCTTATTCTTATCCCTCTTCTTTTAATTTATCTTTGATTTTATTCATTGATAAATGAATACTTATCTGACTAGCACTGGTTTAGTGAAAAGTTTTGGGTGGGATACCAAGGGCACCTGCTATAGAAATAGTCGCAGCACCATTCACTAAGTAGAAACTTGATTTTAAACTTGAAAGTATAATCTTCCTTGATTTACATACCTCCCTATTCAAAAGACAAAAGGATGGAAGAACAGCCAGAAATTTGGGTGGAAGTATTGTTACCATGATTATTAGTATTCACCAAGAAACATAACATTAGGTGAAATTACTCTCAACTGTATGAGCAGATGAAGCAGGACATGGGAGAGGGGAGCACGGTATAATGTAGTGCCAGTGGCATATAAAACACTGATTCAAGGAGAAAAGATGGCTCTCATCAGGAAGAGACCTTTTCCATGTGGGTCTCCTCTCCTCCCTCCATCCATCTTCACTGCCACAGTTTAATAGATAACCTGTAATCCCTTCCTCCCTGCCCAGTTAGGTCACTCTCATATCTCTTACAGCCTGGTACCTGAAAATTTCTTTCATGGGGAAAAATATGTTTTATGTCAGAATTAGAAGGAGAGCTTTAAAAGCTGCAAAGGAGAGAGTGACTTGATTCACATAAAGGGGGAAATCATCAATGTCAAGTTGCAGACCAGCAATTTTGAGAGGAGGAGGAGAAAAAAGAAGAAAGTGGGATAAGAAGGAGAGTTTATGAGCTATTGGATCAATTTCCTTAACCTTTAAGGTTTTGGTGAGGTTAGATTTGTCCCATGTCCCTTCATGCAAGAAGACTGCTGGGTTACTGTAAAGGGCATGCTCCTGAGTGTGGTTGTGCTGAAATCCCAAGGTCAAGGACATGATTGTTATGTCTGGAGCTCTGCTCCTGGCCTCACAAGGGCCAGTGCATTTAAGGCTGGTTTGAGCAGCTGTCAATACTACATAAATGAGAAAGCACAACTACATTCCAATAAAACCTGAATTTCATATATTTTCATATATTTTCATATATTTGAAGTACTTATTCCTCTTTGGATTTTTCCCCAACCACTTAAAAATATGAAAACTGTTGTCAGTGTGCCCATTACTGAAATAGGCAGCAGACCAGACTGGACCCTCAGATCATAGTTTGCAGACCCATGTTCTAACAAGATTTGAAGGAGTATACACTTTGCCAATATTAAACAATTAGAAAGAACAGTCCCAAGAACTTGGAAAGTCTGAATTCAATAGATTCTTGAAAAGAAACATTTTCCCCTCTGAAAGGATATCTTCAATCCAATTGCAAACTCAGATTTTTAAGTTAGAAGCCTGCTTTAATGGACACAGAGCTCATTTAAAATTAGCAAACAGTGTAAGGCATAAATAGAGGAGGGAAAAGATCTTTTAAGTGAACTCAAAGCAGTTCTTACTCTGCTTTTACAGGATCCATTTCCAGAGAAAGTACTTTCTTCCTAGATCATGCAAAGTCCATTTAAGTCAGCCCTGGGCATGTTGTAACTCTGAATTGTATACATTCAGACAAGAGAGTTAAGCTGCACTTCATGTGTGTGCTCAGGAGGTGGAACACAGGGCACATCCCATTTTAATTATTTCTCCTAGGGCCTCAGTCTTTCTGTCTAGTAAGCGACAGTTTTCTACAGACACACCGCCTTGCTCAGCTCAGCCTTACTTGTACTATATTCATTTATCTCTCAGCTTCCTGAAGTTGTTTATGTAAGCCAATCTGAACCCCGGAAACTGACAAAAATTCCAACACAAAGAGACAATAATATAGAGGAGTGAAGGAAAGGCAGGACATCTAAGAGGAGCCAATTTTCTAAAAATACAGGAGGCTGGACAGCTCAGACCAAGAAATCAAGGAATAACCGAAGGAATGGAGGAATAAACTGAAACCAAGAGCAGTAATAACATAGACCACAGGTCAACAGGAAAATACCATTTTCAAAAGACAAGACCAAATATGCAACCAGGCAAAACAAGTATTACATTGATGTTTCTGTTGTTGTTTTGCAACAGCACCTTTCGAGGACGCATTCAGGGACATGGTCGGTGACACACAGCACTCAGGCCCCCCGTGGCCTTTCAGCACTGGCAGCCAGGGTGCCATTTGGGGGTTCCCACGAAGCAAGCATGTTGAGGCATGGTTTAACTGACCCCATCTCTGTCATTATTCAGACCACACCCCTGAACTGGAAAACCTCACCGTGACCAAGGTTGGCTGGGATGGCCTCAAACTCAACTGGACCGCAGCTGACCAGGCCTATGAGCACTTTGTCATTCAGGTGCAGGAGGCCAACAAGGTGGAGGCAGCTCAGAACCTCACAGTGCCTGGCAGCCTGCGGGCTATGGACATCCCCGGCCTCAAGGCTGCCACCCCTTACAGAGTTACCATCTATGGGGTGATCCGGGGCTATAGAACACCAGTGCTCTCCACTGAGGCCTCCACAGGTACCTCTTACCTTTCTGTCTATAGCTTCTGTTTTTTCCAACAGGAAACTGCCCAAGGATAATCGGTGGCAACTTGCTTTTGGATGGACTTATTCTGCCCCAGGTTATAGCGCTATGGTGTGTGAGAATGGGGAGCTGTGAGGCTGCAGGGCTCCAGGGGCAGCTTCCACACTGACCCCCATGTGGGCAACGCCCTTTGGAGTTCCACAGAGTCCAGCCTGGGGGTTACACTCTCAGCCCAAAGGCAAGGACGATCAGCTTCACAGACTCCCTCCTGCTAAGGGGCATTAAAGCATTTTATTTAAAAGGAAAAAATTAATTTCCTTGTCTACTGGAGGTTAGGGCTATTCCTTAATGAAATAAGATAACGAATCTTTTCCTACACCTTGCCTCCTTTGCTCTATTTTGCAAATTTAGGAAGCTGCATGATGCACCTTTACGTAAAGAAAGTCACTTTTTTTTTTTTAAGTCACATAATGCCTGTTCTTGTGTTACAGAGCCCCTGGATCGTGTGTGATTTGATTATTAAGCTGGTTCTTTGTCCTTCTCCAGGGGAAATTCCCAGTTTGGGAGAGGTCACCGTGTCCAAGGTGGGCTGGAGCAACCTCAAGCTCAACTGGAGTGCTCCGGAAGGAGCCTACGAGCAGTTTTTTATTCAGGTGCAGGAGACTGGCTCGGTAGAGTCGGCCCAGAACCTCACCGTCCCGGGAGGGCTGAGGTCCGTGGACCTGCCTGGGCTCAGAGCAGCCACTCATTACAGCGTCACCATTCGCGGGGTCACTCGGGACTTCAGCACAGCCCCTCTCTCTGTTGAAGTCTTGACAGGTATTCTAAACTAACTCATTAATTTTCTTCCTCCCATTGTCTCTTCTCAGGAGGGATCAAAACTCTTCCCTGCTCTAAACAGGGTTCAGCCCCCCACCACCTTGGGGAAAACCTGTGAATCACCCCTGCTTCTGTCTCAGTGTCATATTCCTTATATGGCCAAGCCCAAGTTGTAGCATGGTAGCCAGTCCCATGAGAAATTCCATGTACTTTTCCCTTACAAAAGTGAAAGGTGACTTTTCTTTCAAAGCAAGTTTCAGTGATAATATTTAAGAAGTTGGAAAGCACAATTTGCAAGTAGAAAAAAGTTTGAGCTCATTTTAAGAACATATCAAAAGACTCCCCAAAGCCCCATGGGTATGTCAAAAATAGAAATTGTGAACAATCCCTAGAGCTCTCTTTCACCCCCAACGCCCGAAGAGAAAAAGCTTGGCTTTAATGCTGGCTATTCGAGTGTGCTCAGCAGCTGCTGTGGAGAGATTATGTGTCTGTAACCAGCACTGTCTAGACAACTCATCCCAATCCTCACCAAAATGCCATCCAACGTGCAACAGGCTTCTCTAGTAACTCAGCAATTCTATGTCCTTGTGCAGAAGAGGTTCCAGATCTGGGAAACCTCACAGTGACCGAGGTTAGCTGGGATGCGCTCAGACTGCACTGGACCACCCCAGAAGGGATCTATGAGCAGTTTGTCATTGAGGTCCAGGAGGCTGGCCAGGCCAAAGAAGTTCACAGCCTCACCGTTCCTGGCAGCCTGAGCTCCGTGGAAATCCCAGGCCTCAGGGCTGGTACCCCTTACACAATCACCCTGCACGGCGAGGTCGGGGACCGCAGCACTCGACCCCTTGGTGTGGAGGTCACCACAGGTATATGACCCCCCTGTCTGACCGGGACTGTGATTGAGGCAGCCTGTCTTTGGAACACAGAAAACTCCCCTCGTGGCAGAGCCTGTCTCGGTGTTGTGGAGAGGCAGCGTAGACACAAGCTGTAACTCAGGAAGGTCTGGGTTGGAGTTCCACCTTACTGGTTGAATATTCTGGGGAGGGTGGATTATGTCCCATCTCTGAGCCTGCTTTTCTCACCTTCCAATTGGAGATAAGACCTCTACTGCAGAACACTGTCAGGAGCGGGAAAATGAGATCATGAAAGTGCTCAGTGAAGTGCCTATCCTTTAATAAATATTGACTGGCAAATGCCTAAATTTACCAGGTAGCAACATACCATAATAAAAACAGCATAAACAGTAGGGCTGGGGCACAAGAATAAGGTCAGAACTTTCTAGAGAACTCTAATCGTCCGTGGCCTCAGTCATCCAGCTAATAGCCAGGTCTCTACAGAACAACCTTGGAAATGATGTAGTCATCTTCGAAAATCACCAAGCCTCTCTCTTCTCCAACAGCCACTCAGGGCAGGAACATTTCCCCGAAAGGGCAGCCACATTTGACTCCCATGTTTTGGAGGAGGAAAATCAATTTGTCTCAATTTGTCCCCTGAAAATATGCTGCTTCATCTGTTACCAAAAACTTCACACTGGTCATGAGGTTTCTAGAAACTTCTTAAAAAGGAGCTATGGGAAAATGGGCCAGATATTTGGTAGGAAGGTTTTTATGGTGAGCCTTAAACTCATGATATTTTCTAGATTATGTAGTCTGTTTTGATACCACCATCCAAATAATCTAATTTTAAAAACTGTTTTTCTTGTGCACATATAACACATATATTTAGTCTTTGCTAGAAACTGCATGCAATTCCAGAAATAAGAAAGGTAATGATGCAGCCCCACAAGCTGGCCAGGTTGTCCCTGTCCTGTGTTTCCTAGAGCAGCTTCAAACCAAACACGTGTGAAAGGGGCCTTTGAGACCTGTGCAATCTGGATGCAGGATGCTAATGGTCTACATCTGTAGTTTGTAAACTTTTGCTTTTAGCAGCAGAACTCCTTTGTACATCAAATCTTGCAAGGAACCCCATTTATGACAATTAAATGACCAGCTTCCTTCCTAGCTCTTGGTGAGCTGCCTAGACCCAGGGCCCCAACCCAGTTCTTGCAAAAAGATACCAGGTCTATGTAGAACACAACTGGAAAACAGTCCCTCTGAATGGACAAGTTTGCTCAGACTCTCACAGTAAAATTCCTGCAGTTATTTTCATTTCTAACTTTGAATCCACAGCCACTTCAGCTTTAGAAAGAGAGACTGAGAGATTTCATTTAACCTTGAGAAACAGGGGCTTTTTTGACATTTGAACCTAAACTTTCTAAGTAAGCAATAATAACTACATTAAATTCCTTCCATACATTGTAGAAAAATAAATAGCAGGTTCTGTTCTGCACCATTTACCAAGCAATGATCACTTGGAAGTTAAAGTGGGCCCTCACTTCCCACAAAGGGCCTGGCTTCATGATGCAGGCATTCTTCATTCAGACACAAAATACTAGCAGAAGACGGTGGAAGGGAAAGCACCAGTCCAAGAATACAGTACAGAACCTTTGATCAATGAAAGCTGAGAAAAGTCCAGAGAGAAAACACCAGACCTGTCCAAACCTGAAGCTTTATAAACCCAGTCAGATAGCACAGGTCCAGCAATGAGATGATCTCTTCAAGGTCAAGTAATCAAATGAAGCAAGGAATTCTCTCCAATATAACCAAGAATTTGCAACGGGGAAACACTGTTAACCAAACTGAAGGGAGTTGTTTGCCCGTGCATGTCAAAGCCCACTAAGACGCAAAAGGGGGGTTGCAGCAAAGAAAGTCAAGGTTTATTTAAGGAAACAGCACCAAGCCTATGAGCTAATGCTCTTAAACCTGGCTCCCCGTGGCTTGTAGGGGATGGGTTATGTAGGGGGGAATCATCAATCACAGCAACTAATGGAATCAGGATTGTGGGTGCTACTGATTGGTCAGGGCCAGGGTAGGGAGTAGCTGATCAGCGCATCTGGTGCTGATGTCAGCTGTGGCACTGTTCTGTCTGGCTTCGAAAGGATGTGGGCAGTAGGGTTGTTCCACCCGCACGGGTCTGGGGCTGACACAACACTGAGGTCAAGATGTTATCTTCAGCAGAAACTCTGTTCTCCTGATCAACAAACCTGAGGCTTTGTTCTTTAAGGAGGTTTGATGCTGACCAGAACCTAACTGTCCTGAGGGCTTAATGAGAAGGGAATGGATAGGCAGTATGTGTGGAGGAGGAAGATCGGTCAAAAGAAGGCAAATGAGTCATAGTGCTATTAGACAGGGCAAAGCTGCTTGAATTAAGGAAAAAGTCACATTAAAGAAATGAAGTTCCTGTGCAGTTACATCAAAACAAGGATGTGTCTGTTAGGCTGTCACTTACTTACCAGGCACTCAGTATGTGTCAGGTAGGATACTCAGAGGTTTATAAATAGCACCGGTTAATCATCGCACAATCCAGTGAAATGGTACGGTCAGTTCCTTTTAAAGGTGGGAAAAGTGAGGCTCAGAGATGAGTTGGTGACCTGCCAAGATTAGGCAGCTAGCAAACATCAGTGTTGGAATTCTAACCAAGGCCCAGCTGCCTCCAAAGCCTACACTTTTAAACATTCCTATCTCCTTCAGCCTGACCCACAGTCCCACCTTTTCGAATTGTCCTTTAAGCTCTGGCTGTGCCCGCTCAGAGACAGGCAGGTTGTGCAGTGGTCAAGATGGCACTGTCATCTCGGGGACGGACAGTACAGATTTTCAACTCCTGAAACAAAAAGCTGTGGCCAGGTAGCACAGTTCTAACTGGAAATACCCAGAGACCAAAAATGACCACAGACACACACATGCACGTGCACACACACAAACACACACACACACACACACACACACACACACACAAAATATTCTCCCACCCCTTTCTCTCTTCGCTGGGCTGTGGGACGTTTGGTTTCTTCATTTTTGGTTTACAGAACTGACAAATACCTCTCTGTCCTTCTTCAGAGGAGCTCCCCCTGCTGGGAGGCTTAGCCGTGACTGAGGTTGGCTGGGATGGCCTCAAACTCAACTGGACCGCAGCTGACCAGGCCTATGAGCACTTTGTCATTCAGGTGCAGGAGGCCAACAAGGTGGAAGCAGCTCAGAACCTCACGGTGCCTGGCAGCCTGCGGGCTATGGACATCCCGGGCCTCAAGGCCGCCACCCCTTACAGAGTTACCATCTATGGGGTGATCCGGGGCTATAGAACACCAGTGCTCTCCACTGAGGCCTCCACAGGTACTTTCCTCTCCATGTAGATGCCCTCCCCCCAGGTCCCTTCTTTCTCTCCAAGAGATCAGGGAGTCAGCTTCTCTCCACGTCTGAATCCTTTCCATGCGCCCTGTAGCTGCTGGCCATGCATGGTCAGAGACCTCCCTATGGCCTGAGCCTTGGTCCAGATGCCTTTGCTATCTCAAGAATGAGCAATATAGGTGTTACCTTTTCTGAGCTTCAGCTTCCAGCCTCTCCCAGACTTTATCTACCTAATTCTACAACTACGTCTCTCATCTCTATGGAATGATGCCTTTCTGGTTTAGAAGACAGACTGAAAGTTTTAATTCTCCTCTCTAGTGCTTGGATATAACTAAAAGCCAACCCTTCCCCTCTGTGAGTGCTGGTGGAGTACAGATTGTTTACTTCAGAGAGTATTTTTGCTGGTTGGAAATGGTGCTTTACTATCCTGAACACCTCAAGGGTAGGAGCGCTGTCGTTCTTGCATTAAAAAAATGTTTTCATTCAAATGTTTCTTTAAAATGCACTGAGTAAAATAAGGCAACTGAATTACTCTCTGCTGGGCAATTGTCTCAGTTACTGAGTCATTGTTAGAACACCAAATTAGCAAATAGCTAGAGCAACAAGGGAGGGAAAAAATATCACACAATTATGACTGGGGATAGTACCAACGAAAAAGCCGTTCATTAACAGAAGTACACACAGCAGCATCTGAAGCAAGGAACGTCTCAGGCTATGAATGCCAGAGATCCAATGCCCATTTCGCTCTTTTAATCAAGAGTTGCTCCCCCGCATGCTGGCCTTTGGACGGCACACTCCCAGCTCAGACCCAGGACAGTGCCTTGTAATTGACTCATCCCTCTGCAGAGGGACAAGGCGTTCAGCGTTTCCCCGGGAGCCTGTGAAAGTGAGCAGCCTTGCAGCACTGTTTGCCTTTGTCCATCTTCCTAGGGGCCACCATTGGTTTGAAGCTCAGTAGAGAATGTCTTGTTTGGTTCTGCATATGCTACCCCATTTTTAGGTAATTATTGCAACTAAACTGTCATGCAAACCTATATGTCCTAGCTGGTTGTACCAAAAACATAGCTCCACTTTTTAGCTTCTCATTTTAGTATCTCTTGCTGAGATAAACATACTGCACAGGCAACCACTGAATGAATGGGGATCCCAAATGCCTCAAAATTGCAGCTGAGGCTGCCCTGCATGTACCTGGGGCTCATTCCAGCTCATATCCACAAACTGTCCCTTCTCAGAAGGCAGGGAAATCACCCTCCACTTCTGATCTTTCCTGCAGATCTTACGGTTTGGGTGTTCTTAGTAGTTTTATGAGTTTTTTTTCCATTTTACTGATAACAACATTCTTGCTTCTGATGTGTCAGTAAGAGGGGAGGAAGGGCCATAACCCCATCTGATCTGTATTTCACCAAATCCATTGGGACAGGAAGGCTTTCTCTTTCCTTGCCAGAGTGAGAGAGAGAGAGACAGTATTAGCTTTTCAAACCCTGCTTCTGCCTGCCCTCTGCATGTATTCTTCCTGTTGCTCAGAAAAACTTGGGTAGAACCATCTCCAAGGCAAAATGTCATTTCTTGGCTGAACAGGGTTGCCTGACTGCCTCGTTCTGGCTCTGCTCTGCTGGTTGGCAACGCAAATACTAGCCTTCTTGGCCCGCAGGGAGCAGTTAAGAGAGGACAAGCTATTTTAACAGAATATGAGAACGGCTGGCCCTTGTCAGAAGTTTACAGAAAGTATCAAGAATTACACTGACAAGCTGCCAATTTCTTTTAAGTTGCAAAATCAGAAGCCTGCAGGTACCATCTAGGGAGGGTATTGGCATCAGAATTATTTAGTTTTCATTTGAATAGATGGGAGCTCCCTCAAGGCGAAAGATGCCTATAGGAGCTAGCCAAGTAATCTTGGTCTATTGAGTGCAATTCAGGAGACTGGAAGCTGCCAGAACTCATATCTTTTGACTGGTGGCCAGCATCCTCGAGGTGGGGCTCCCAGAAGCATCTGGCTCAGGCACAGCCAGTCCAGCCGCCGTCACTCAGCGTGTCTTCTCACACGCTGGTCTCCGCCAGCCTGATCCTGTGGGGCAGCCCCTGAGCAGGGCAATCCAACCGCTGTACCCACCCTTCTGTGTTTTCCTTTTAACCAACTTCCTCCCTCAACGGCATTGATTAGTAACACTTTCATTTCGCCATAACTCTCAGGTATCAGATCCTTCTCCCCAACTACAGTTCTATTAACAACTTCAGCCTTAAAACACAGCCAAACGATCAACTCAAATTTACTTGTTTCTTCTCCTCTACCCATTGTTTTTTTCAGCCAGAGAACCAGAAATTGGAAACTTAAATGTTTCCGACATAACCCCTGAGAGCTTCAATCTCTCCTGGACAGCTACCGATGGAGCCTTCGAGACCTTTACCATTGAAATTATTGATTCCAATAGGTTACTGGAGACGATGCAATACAGAATCTCTGGTGCTGAACGAACTGCCCACATCTCAGGGCTACGCCCTAGTAATGATTTTATTGTCTACCTCTCTGGACTTGCTCCCAGCATCCGGACCAAAACCATCAATATCACAGCCACCACAGGTACACATGCATCCTCCCACTTCTAACGCCCTCTCTCTCCAGGGTCTTCCTTGCAGGGTGAAGCAGCTCCTTCTCTCCCACCGAAGCAAGGCCCCAGTGCAGTAACTCCTCTGCGATGCCAGGCTGGAGCACTGTTTACATGCCTCTCCTCCAACAGCAGCCCAAGTGGTGGATCTCCACTAAGACCCTTGCCTGATCTGTCACTGACCAGGACATTTGCAGCATTAAATGTAGTTTGGTCCAGATTGCCACATAGAATCTAGAGAAAAGCACCCTCCCCTTCAGTAGCAAAAACAACAAAAAGCCATAAGCCATAATGACCATTCTCCCACAGCTAGAAAGACATCACATCAATCAAGCAGGCCTCAAAAGTCATATTTTTTGTTATCCTCGTATCTTTGTCTTCCTAGTGCCTTTGACCTCCTAATACTCAAATACCCTGACAGTCTCATGAAATTGTGTTGGTGCTTTTTTTTTTTTCAATTCAGAAAGCAATAAAAAAAGAGCAGATCCCTCCTCAGATGAGTACAGAAGGAAACCATGCCACCCAGGACATCCCGATTCCAATGCTCCCTCGAAGAGAAAAGACCAGAACATGTTCTTGCCCCCAGAACAGCAAGTGTTAGATGGTAAACACGGAAATAAAATAGTCACATTCAAACAAGGAGCTTGGTTGGCAGAAGGGTAAATGGCTGTCACTTCAAATTTGTAACACCTGTGACATGCACCCTATGGCAGATGTTCGCTGGCATGCAGCAGAAGGGAATATTCTGCATGAATTTAGAGAGGAGGGCCTTTTCCGTGCAAAATGGCCATCTTAGTACATTTGGGACAATGCCTCCTCTTGACAGATAAAGTAAGACATCACAAACTGAAAAAAATAGTTATGGAATAAACAAGGGAGAATTTCTTCTTACAGTTCACAGTCTCATGTTCTGGGGAATTCAAGAAAAGGATGGCCATTGTAGCATCAGAGCTACCTATTGTATCAGTCGCCGAGGTTGAGGCAGGGTCTGTCTTCAGTCCTCACTATCAGGGCGGCCCGCAGAAAAGCCTGAGGGCCAGCATTCTCTCATTCTCGTCTCAGCCACATTAAACTACACCACCACCTAGGGAAGAAAACTGGTCAGCCCTACATATTTGTGTCTGATGGCTCAGATCTGTTCCAACAAAGGACAAGTTCCCTAACCAGAGGGTCCAACCTAAAACTTTATGGATTTAGTCTTATGTGTTTTGATTTTGAACCTATAATGGTGTTTTAAATTGACACGCTTTCCTATTTTTTTCCCCTTCCTTGCTTTAGTAGCTGAACCTCTCCTTAGCCACCTCACTATCTCAAATGTGACCTGGGGCAGTGTGTCCATCTCATGGAAAGCTTGGGAGTCTGCCTTTGATAGCTTTCTTGTAGAGGTTAGGGATTCTGACCACCTCCAGGAGATGGTGGTGCACATTCAGTGCCTGTGGCGTCACGCAGTTCTGTCACCGCCAACCTCAAAGCTTCCTCTAATTACACCGCCCACCTTCACGGGCTCGTGGGCAGGCAGCACGCTCAGACCCTGATGGTCCAGACAACCACAGGTATTTCCCACGAGGGGGTCTTCACTCTCCATCAAACTTCCTTTGAGGAGCATTCAAAAAATTCACTCACTCCCTATTTTTCGTCCTCTTAGTTCCTCCAGATCTCTCTCAAGTTTGATAGAGCCACCCAAATCAGAGCTTTAAAGGTATTTTTTTTTAAATACTCTCACCCCAAATTAAGTAACTTCAACATCAACCTCTTTTTCCTAAATATTCATCCACATCTGGAGTTGCTCTGTTTGTATAGAGTTAACCTGACTTGCTTTGGTTGAATTTCTAAACCATCCTTTCATCTGATCTTGAATAATTGTTTCCAGTTCCTCTCATTATCATCTGCCTGCGGTCTTTCTAATCAAAGTTTACCCCTGTCACATTCAAAGAGGTGTATGCATGCTGTTTTTGTTTCCTTAGTCAGAATGCTCAACACTCTCTTCCTCTCCACGAGGACTTTAAAAGTGGCCCACTAACATGTAGAGAAAAGATCCTAAAACACACCCCAAGAACCACATGGGAGGACCCCGTGGTCTCATCTTGTCCTTGAGACTTTCATTTGCCTGCATTCTCTACCAAGAGACTGCTCTTTTATGACATTTACCCTATCAAGCATGTTTTGTCACCCACTGAAATCTGTCACAAAGGTTTAGAGTCTTCCTTTCATCCATCATCTTGTCCAAATCTTGGTGCATGTGGTGAATATCCAGAGCATTACATGTTTGAGAAAATGTCTGTATTTCCTGGAAGCAGGCAGCATGTCAAGAAATTGTTTCCAAGGGTTAGAAGTGGTGGGAGAAAAAAGTTCCTAGCTCGCATGGAACACTAACTACCATTCTCTTTCTGAGTTTTTTCTTGCATCTCACTTTTCAGCTTGGCTGCACCCTTTGGGAGACAGACAGCTGGCAGTCAACCTGGCCTCGAGCAGTCAGGTCTCATCCAGCATGGTGAATGTGTCGGCACTGCTGGTCTCTGTCTGGTAGCGTGAGAAGAGCCCTAACATGCACCCTTAATTCGGGAGATTGTTTCCACAGCCAGCAATAGGACAAACAGAGTCCCATTTGGAGGATTTTACCTTTTGTGGGGTTGAGGTAATTTGCCACTGCTGTGGCTGAAAATCAGACCATCAAACTGACTGCTAAGTAGGAAATCCCATGCCATTATTTAGGGCTGTAGTCTGCTCCTGAGCCAGATCCTTTTTGTCCTGAGACACTTTATGGCATTGGGTTATGCTGTGCAATCATCCAGCTAAAGTTTATCCAAATGAGTCCTTTCCTTCCTGCAAGTGCAGTGGCTGCAGCAAAACAACCCCTGAATCCTTGGGAGGATTAGTCTGCTTCCTCCCAACCCCAAATCCTCATCTTCATATCTCAGCCCTCCAGGACTCTTGCCTCTCTCTAAAATATAGTCTGGGTTGAACATACTTTAATGTTCGTGTTTTTGGTAAATGTGCATGTGAGAAGCCAGATCATAGAGCACATCTCCGTTGAAAGTAGCAGCATAGGACCCCCTACTTTAAAAACAAGTTGCTCTTATCACTGATTGTCTAGACTTCAAGGGACAAGAGAAGCTTAACCTTCATGGAACCATCCATCTTTCCAAATTATCCGATAGGTGAATTTCCTAATCAGAAAAATGCAACACCCAACTTCAAGTTTTTCTGTAATGTGTGCATACACCAGGTGTTTTTTTTAGTGAAAGCCATTTTCACATTTACAGCATTGACGGTGAGATGTTGGTTTTCCTAAGGCATACACATTTGGGTTTCTAACTACTGTCAAGAATTTGTTTTATATGGGTACTAGCCTTTAATTGGTGCAATCCAAATCGATATAAAGAAGACTAAGTAAGGAAGCTTCAGAGTAAATTTTATAAGGTGCTCAGTGGCAAAGTCACTCCTTGAGATGTTCAAAGAATATTCCTCATATAGGGTATCCATTGATCAATCAGCCTATGCAATGCTGGGCTAAATAAAATTAAATAGGTTTCTTTCCAGGAACCAGCATTTCTGAGTCTCTAAAAGCTAGACTGTCCCTAAAAGCTAGTGTGAATGCTAGACCGTTTTGTGAATCTCTAGGGTGAGAGATAGTCTTCCATGTTTAGCAGACATGCTTCAATAGGAAGCTGTCTTCTTGGAACATCTTACGGAGCTAAGGCCTCATTACAAACCTTAGAGAATGTACCCTTAATGCCCTTTGCATTAATCCTGCTGCTCTCATGGCTTGTTTACTCTTCTTCATACATGACTAGCACATGGTCATGTCTACACTTAAAAGAATGCAAATCTATGCCTGCAGACAAAGTGATGGAGCCTAATATACTACCTTTCAGCAAATAATTGGAGGGATTGACACTTTCATGTTCTATGGCTACATTCTGGAAATATCCACACTGCTTCCTCTAATAATGTCTCTTTCTCTCTCTCTGCCTATGTTCCTTCTTCTTCAGAGCCAGAGCCACAGTTGGGCATGCTAATCTTTAGCAATATTACTTCTGACAGCTTCAACGTGTCATGGACCATTCAAGCTGGGCCTCTTGCAAAGATTGTTATCAATGTTAGCGATTCTCATTCGCTGCATGAGCCCCAGCAATTCACAGTCTCAGGAGACGCACAGCACGCTCACATCACCGGCTTGGTGGAGAACACTGGCTATGACGTTAGTGTGACAGGGACCACCTGGGCTGGGGAGCCCACCAGACCCCTCACTGCCTTTGTCATGACAGGTACTCTTTCAAAGGTTCTCACTTGTCTGCTTAGAATTCTGAGATGGGAAAAGGGGGGACAGGTGATAGACATTCTAAAGAGAAACTGAACCCACAATACAGTCTTCACTTCATATATAAACTTCTAAGTGAAGAGAGAGCAGATACTATTGCAGGGAGGGATCTTCCATAGCCACTCTTAGTAAGTGGACACAATGTGGTCGAAAGTTGTATAGAACTTGCAGATTGCTATGTGCAGTTTTATAGACTGTCCGATTTACAGTTTGGAGATTCTGACTAAAGAGTGAGTTCTAAGTTCATAATGACCTAGAGTAGGAATTTTGTCCATAAATCCTGCTATTGTAAGTCAGTCAGTCCATAAACTACATGCCCCAGAAATATAATTTATCTTTTTCTTCTAAAAAGTACTTCTTTAAAATTGACCTTATAACAGATTAATGAAGGCTCAACCTAGAAGAGCACATAAGTCCCATGCTTAATTTAACCTTACCCATTCCTTAAACTTGACTTCCAATTTCTCTTTGAATTATGTGAAGAAATGGTTTTCTATTTCCTTTCTGAGATCATCCTAAATCAATGGCAAAGGATGCCAATAGTGTCGATTTACCAAATATCTAGTCTGAAAAATAGGAGCACCAACTTTGCCATCTGATTTTCACATTAAACCAGAACCCTCCTAGGGCCTAAATTGCTGTAAATAAGATATATTAATACATTCAAGTAAGTATTGGAGGCAGCATAATGTCCTATAAGAGGGAGGACTGTGAGACCAGGCCTGAGTGGTTTCTCACCCTCTCCCACATTCTTTTCAGTTACATAACCTTGTCTGGTTCCTAACTGCTCTGAACCCCAATTTCCCTATTAAGAGGAGATGGTGCCCATAGCTCCCTCGGGCAGCCTTGTCCCAGGAACTAAGTGGACATGATGGAAATTAACTGCCCGGCATCCAGTTGGCATTTGACAGGTACTGCTGGGTCCTTCCTGCTTTCCCCCAACACTATGAGGAAAGTGGTGTGCTTAAAAATTAGCAGTAAGCCTAGATAGAATCAATAGACCTCTGCAACCGTAACTTTCCTGTTATTTTTGAGAGAATCTTGGGCATGTTTTAATGTGAGATCAAAAAGTGATTGTATTTTCTGTCTCGTTATCTAATGTAAATTCAGCCATTCACACAGTCTTCAGACACAGACCACGGTAATTCCTTAGTGGGGCATGGGGTAGCCATGACCTGAGACTCTCACTGCCAGGGAGGACAGACATGGCCAGCCACAGAGCCCGTCAGGCCTGGACTTGTAGCTGCTGGCAGAGCCTCCTGCAGAATAGAGAGAAGAAAAGGAGGTCAGGAGAGCTGGTTTTGGGAAGCCTGGATCCAGTTACAGTATTGTCTCAGCTAATCCTTGATTCAAAGAGGAAAGACTGCATTTAAAAGAAGCATATTTTAAAGGGGGGGCGGACTACAAATAACAGACCCTGGATTGACTAATTAGCCCAAATGCTCTCCTTTTCATCAGAAAGCGCTGCTTTGATGGCGTTGAGGTGCAATGCAGCCAGCTCTCCGAGTGAGGCGCCGCTTATCTAAACAAAGCTCAGCAACAGAATCTGAGACTCTTGTCTTACAGACAAGGAAGCCTGTTTGCACAGTACATGTGATTTCATCTTTGCCTTTGATAGAGTTGTGATTCTGGGGAGATCTTTACATGGTAAAAAAAAAGTCTCAAAATAAACACCAAGTGTTTCAACATAAGTACAGAAAGTCCAAGCCACAGTAAAATTTAAATCTCTGCTTAGAGGATGAGGACATCCATTTACTTGTTCATTCAGTCACCAAACACTTCTTTTTAAAACATTTTTCTTTACATCCTGTGGATTAGACTGTGGGCATTAGTGTATGGTCATTTATCTCTTTGAAAGTTTCCATTTAGCAGTGATGAAAAAAAGAAGGCTCTAAACTAGATGCAGCTAAAACAGCCTTGACCATGAAATTCCCACCCTCCTGCCCACTCTGATAAAAAATAAATACATTCACCATTACTGTTTTGTTTTGCAAGAGGGGATGCTTTGGACCTTTGCTAATCCTACTTATGTCTCAGCACTTACCAGCACTGATGGCTTGACTAATTAGATGTTGGCTAAGGGTGTGGAAAGAACATTGAACTTGGAATCTGAAGACCTGAGTTGGATCTCAGCCTAGCCACCTAGTAGATATGTGATCCTGGACAAGTCACTGACCTCTGTGTTTCTTTAGATATGATGGGGGAGGGTAGTATTGACAGAAGCTCAGTTCTTATAAGCACACTCCTCTTGAGAATGCCAAGGTGTGAAAAGAACCCTTGGCACCTAACGAGTAAGTGCTTAAGATGTAGATGTTGGTGAATGAATGAACAAATGATGATGACAGAACTTACAGAAGATCCTGACGTGTCCTTTATCCCCTAATTTTATCCAGAAAAAAATAAATATCAAAAGAATTAGCAAGTCTTAGTATTCTTTACTGGCCATTGCCATAATGTGTTAATTTTGACACATGAAAAATCTTCCTCCCTTTTTCTCAACTTGAGAACATGTGTCACTCACTGCCTAATCAACTTGATTCAAAATGCAAACTAGAAATGGAGTAGAAACACATGAAGTATAGCAACAAGGAAATATATTTGAAGGGGGTGAAAAGCTGATTTGCTTTAAGATGAGAAGAAAGTGGAAAGTAGAGAAAGGGCCCAAACACAACACAAAATATCTGACTTTATAAGAAGTTCCCAGCTACTGGAGTCAGACCCTGCTAAAAAAACCCTGCTCTATCCCACACTAGCTTTGTGACTTTGGCCAAGTTAATTAATCTCTTTGAAGCTCCGTTTTCTTTCCTGTATAATGTGAATAGTATCTCTCTCATAGGCTTATTATGAAATTTACACAAGACCCCATCATCTGGCACCTAATAAACTCTTACTAATCTGCTAAGCATACAACACATTTAATGGGCGACTGGGTATCTGTCAGTGTTTGTGCAGACTTACGCTATCCCGGCAGAGTCAGTGCTGCTAACCTGCGTTATTTTCACTCCTCCCTTCTTTCAGAGGCTCTGCCCCTTCTGGAAAACCTAACCATTTCCGACATTAATCCCTACGGGTTCACAGTTTCCTGGATGGCATCGGAGAATGCCTTTGACAGCTTCCTAGTCACGGTGGTGGATTCAGGGAGGCTGCTGGATCCCCAGGAATTCACACTTTCAGGACCCCAGAGGAAGCTGGAGCTCAGAGGCCTCATAACCGGCATTGGCTATGAGGTTATGGTCTCTGGCTTTACCCAAGGGCACCAAACGAAGCCCTTGAGGGCTGAGATTGTTACAGGTATTTCGATTCAAGTGAGCCATTTTCTTCTCTTCCTGGTTTCCTACCATGTAATCCATTGACCATATCACCATGGTTTTAACATCCTTGTCCGTGTTCTCTACTTAATCTGTAGATGTGGCCTGGACTTTTATGCTCCCCCACCACATTCTCCCTTGTCTTACGTCTCTAATGAGCACTCCCCTTCTCCCACCCCAGAAACGAGAAGGTCGAAATGTCGCCACTTGGTGTGCCAAATCCATCAGACCACGTCTTATCTGTAGCTCTTGTGTGTTTACTCCACATCACCTTCCCCCGTGTTCATCCTGGCTGGTCCCCAGCTACATTTCAGCCTTCTCAGAAGAAATACACCAATGAGTATGTTTCAAAAACTTACGTTTGCCATCTCCAAGTTTCAGCTATAACCTTGACAAACTTACCAGGTGGGCTTGTCATTGCAAAGCCAATTATCAACTTACTATGTCGGTAATCACTAACATCATGGCTATTCTTGAACACAGACTAAATCCATAATTTTCTCAAGACTAGTAACTCCTAGAGAAATAGAGCATTAACAACGTGAACCTTCAAACAAATCTGTGTTTCCCAAAGTCTCTCTAGAGACCATTACTTCTGTGGAATATTCAAAGGTTCTACATGGTGAAGAAGTTCCATGTTCAAACAAGTTTTGGAAACACTGACTTAAACATAGTTTAAAAGGATCCTTGACCACAGGACTTTAAAGAACATCCTAATATGCATGTGTCTCTCCAAGAGGTACTCACCCAGGCAGTATTTCCCAAACTTACTGGACCGTGGATACCTTTTAAGGAAGAAGATCAAACAGGAATGGTTTGCTGTGAGTACACTTTGGGAAACACAGCTGTAAATTTACGTTGACATTGAGTTTTGTCTAGTTCAGGCAATCCAAGATAATACCTTGAGTCCAAAGCATTCAGCACAAGAGGTTCCAAGCATCAGTTCTACCATCTTAACACTTATCTAATGGTTAAAAAAAGCAAGCAAGTCAAAAGAGTGGGAGCCTTCTTTAGTAAAACAGCTCCAAGAAAAAAGCAAGAAGATCATAACATTTATATCATTTTAAAAGCCATTTTGCTCATGATCAAGGGAAATATAATCAGCAGTATCATCATGGGCAGCTCTACAGATCGTTAATGCTGGTTTATTTGTTTTTTCAAAAAGAAAAGAAAAAGATCTCACAGCGGATGGGCACTCAGCCACTGGAAGACAGAGAGCAAATGTAAACAAGTTACTGGCTTTGAACTTGTTTAATAATGCAGGGGAGGGCCAATGTTGAGTCCAGATGTGGATTTATAGAATTGCTTTTAGACAAAACTCACATATGCACTTGGTTTGTTTTAAATGTGTCAACGCCATCTTTCCCTTCTCCTAGGCCTGCTAGACTTTTCCACGTTGAATCATTTTACTTTTGGTATCTCAGGATGGGGCCATCACTGCATATTGACATCCCATTGGAGAGAAGCTTGCACATGCTGATAATTGATGTTGTCTTTCCTCCTTCCACTATTTTCTCCCCTTCTAGAAGCCGAACCAGAGGTTGACAACCTTCTGGTTTCAGATGCCACCCCAGATGGTTTCCGTCTGTCCTGGACCGCTGATGAAGGGGTCTTTGACAGTTTTGTTCTCAAAATCAGAGATACCAAAAAGCAGTCTGAGCCACTGGAAATAACCCTCCTTGCCCCCGAGCGTACCAAGGACATAACAGGTCTCAGAGAGGCCACCGCATATGAAATTGAACTCTATGGAATAAGCAGTGGAAGGCGCTCCCAGCCAGTCAGTGCTCTGGCGACAACAGGTACCGTACAGAAACAGGAGAGAACCGAGAAAAGTCACTACCTGGGGGTCTCCTTCTCACAGGGCTAGGAACTTACAGGAGCTTTGGGTGCAGACTTCAGATCCTGGCTGTTTTGATTATAGACAGGGAGACTGGACAATGTGGCTGAGGCTCTACACAAAAAAAGTATTATGTGATTTATTTAATAGCATTGTGAGGATTAAATGAGATAATTCATGGAAAGCCCAGAGCAGGACTGGCACATAGTGAGGGCTCAGCAAATGAGATATATTTCTGTATTCATTATTGTCATTAATACATCACCATCATTACAATTATTGCATTTTTTCATTCCAAAGATTTTTTCCTTCTACCCATTATCTCATCATTTTTTATCCAGATATACACTTCCTTGTTCTTTGGTCAAATGTTTGAATTATGCTATACAGGGATAACACAGAAGTAGTACCTCCACCTATACAATTAATCTTTATAAAATGCTATGTGTGAAAAACCAGTAGCATGATCAGGAAGGAAAAAGAGGAGGCTGGCATGGTTAAGGCCTGCTCCTCCTGACACTCGCTAATTTTATTCAGTACTTACAGTGACTCTAAAGGACGCCAGAGGAGGAAATGAAAAGCCTATTCCATCTGAGTTCTTTCAAGGAGAATAAAGGAAGATGGTTAATAACATAGCTAATAATAATAATAATAGGAAAACTAAGATGACTCTTTAGAAGGAAAAGGAAAGACCTACAACAGGTGGGGTGAATTTCTTCACAAAACTGAGAAAAACAGACAAACACAGCCTTAGCTAGAGACAGCTGCTTCAAAGCGGAAGCAGAGAAAAGACTCATCAAATCCCAGGAAGAGGTGAAGGGACCACAGAAGTGATGCAGCACAGCCTCTTCTGTTTGTGCAGAAAGAACCCGAGGCCCAGAAAAGGTCAAGTGATTTTGCCTAAGGACACACAGCCAGATTTGGGGTAGAACCCAAACACCAACTTATTTTAATACTATTAACTATAAGCATGTTAGATGACAGATAACCAATGACTATACCGGGGTGGGCAACAGTAGGTTCACAGTTACAAGTACATGAAACACAGTTTATTCTTGTGTTATTATTTACTTATTATTGTATTATTTGCTGTACAAACAACTGTACATGAACTTTTGCCTACCCTTGTACATACTTTCCCTCTGTGGCAAGTACAGAGAATACCACTAGCCAAAACTTCTTTGTCCAGGGATGGGTATTTTATTATGTCCAGTTTCAGGACCTCGTGAGCTCCAAAAAGCCACCTACAGAAATCACAGTCAGTATTTGTGGACGTGGAGGAAATGCTGAGAGCCGGGCAGTGACTCAGTGAGGGGGAAAACCCTGCTCCTTACGGACAAGGACACCCTCTCCCGGGCTGCAGCTCCTCGCCGCCTCCCCCTGGGGCTGCCCATAAAACAACTGCAGACCAGAGACAGAGCCTGATTTTGACCTTGGTGTATAAACACTGGTTTTCAAAGTTTACTTCTAATTACTGATTTTGTTTTGTTGGACTTTTTTTCTCGAGGCTCGGCAGTTCCAAAGCCAAAAGGAGAATGAATAATCATGTTGGGGTTTTTTTTGTTGTTGTTTTTTTTTTTAAGAATGAAAGACAAGAAAAGATAGACTGTGCTTTTTTAGAAAGCCCTGTCTTTGATTTCTGTCTCTGGGGCCTTGTAACTCACACAGAGTTGTGTGTGCGTTGTGTGTCTGCGTGCCTGTGCTCTGGTGCTTAGAGGCAGCAGGAGAGGTAACTCTGTCGTCAACTTTATAAAGTTTCCCTCTGTTTTTTCATCCGTTCTCCGCCCTTTCTTCCCTTGCACCATTGTAAACCACCTCTGTGATGCTCCATGCCTCTTTTTCCTTATGAAGCTGCTGCATGTCTTTCTCTTACCCCCCTGAGTGCCAGCTGCCAGCCCCGAGTGCCCTGGTGGCAGAGGGGGTGGTTCGAAGCCGTGTAGCCTGGTGGTTAGCCTGTAGTCTCTGGGTGGATTCCGTGTAGTCTGATCTGGGCTCTGTGTCTTACCGGCTGAGTGACTTTGGACCAGTCTCCTTTTCTCTCTGAGCCTCAGTCCCCTCGCTTGGCAGATAGAATTTACCTCAAAGGTCAGCCATCAGGTTTACATAAGATCATGAATGCAGAGTATTTAGCAGAGTTCCCTTCCCATTGTAACAAAATTAGCTATTAATACATTATTATTATTATTTAATAAAATATAACATAGCCTAATGTAACAACATGATATTAGGTAATTTAGTATAAATTTTATTTTTAACGGTCCACTTGGTTCAAAATTCAAAAATCACAGAAGGGTTAGAGTGAAGTTTCTATTCTACATCCCTTCCCCCCAGTTGCTCTATCTGGAGGAAACCAGTATTACCACTTCCTTCTGTATCATTCCAGAAATATGTTATACAAACAGACAAAATTAGTCATAACTCTACATTCTCTTCTACCCTTTTCTGGCACAGTGGTTAACATACCCTCTGCTGTACACACTGTTGTTGATGTGCGTGCGTGTGTGTGTGTGTTCCTTGCTTATTCACAGATCTCAGAGATAACTGCATACACATTAATTTGACCATTTCCCTACTGACGGACACTTAGTTTATGACTTTTCCTCCTTCTATCCGTCGTTTCCTGCATTTCCAAGGGCACCTCTTCCCTTCTATAGTTTAAGCCACTTCTTCCTAATAGCCTTGGCCCCCTGTGGGATGCCTGGAGTGCCAAGAGCACTTCTGGGGAGTGCTCTTTTTGCCTCTGGGGAGTTCAGTGACAACACGTCTCTGAGGACCCCCTGGAGGGGCCCTGGAATAGACAGAAAAGAGTTCAAAATCCAGCAAGAGAGTAAAATGATTTTGTCATTCTCTTCTGGAGGTTCCTTAAACTGTCCCCACTGGGAGTCCCAGTCATGCACCCCTGAGGCCAATGGGGGTAATCAATGCCCCTTTCCCCAACTCCCAGAACATTCTCCCTCCCACCCCATCTCCCTTTCCAGCCAAACAGCCTTTTCACCCCTCTGTTCAGTTCCAGTTCAGATGCATTTGAAACTGCACGCCACCGTGTCTCAGTGTCATTGTGTCTGGCAGTCTAGGTCAATGAGTCTGCAGAGACTTGGCTGTCCTCCTTTCCATGTGAAGCAGGCTCTTCATGCCAAAGGAGGCATGCTAAAATGACAAATAGCCTTCCACACTTAGCTAGGTCTACAGTCCAAAACTGTCATGCACATGGACCCTGCAATTCCACTGCTCCTGTACACTCAGGAGTGCATGGTGGATGAGGCTACTGAGTCCTATGGTTGCTAAGATAGTGCTGATAATATTGCCATTTTTCAGATGAAAAAACTGGGGTTCAGAGAATTCAGCTGTGGCCTCAAGGCACACCTTCTAAAATGGGCCAGGACCTGCACCAATGAAGTTTGCAGGAGAGCCTGAGTTTACATACCTCCCTGGGATTTTTTCCTCAGCTGGCCTCATCTAGACCTTTCCTGGGGGAAAGGTCTTCAAAAACCAAGGTGGCCCATGGCAGAAAGAATCACATGTCAAATAAAAGAAAGAGAGGGCAAATCATGTTTACTGAATTCTTTACTGCATGCCAGATTCTGCACTGGGGCTTTATACCCATTATCTCTGCTAATCCTCAGAACATTCCTTCCTGAAAGTGGACACCATTTATCACAGGGCAGCTGGAGCAATTGAGGCTCACAGCAGTGAAGGGACCTGCCCCAGGTTGCCCAGGCTCTCCGTGGTATTTGGACTCTCACGATCTTGCAGGCCCCAGAGCCCTTGTGGTTTCCAAAGCTCTTCCAGCAGAGGGTAAAACATCAGGCAGCCACAGAGTCTGGGGGTGGCTACCGGGTTGCAAGAGAACGCTGCAGGAGGAGAGAAAAAGATAGAAAGGAAGAAAAAAAAACACCCTCTACAGAGTGGTCTGTGGGTTTCAGAACTTAATGATCCACGTGGGTTGGAACAGGGAAAAGATGAAGTGAGGTCCCTGGAGACCTGAAAATTGTTTCCTGAATTCTCTGGTTAAGCATGGTCAGCTAAAGAGGGCAGAAAGCTACGCCAAAACACACAGAGAGAAAGCCAAAGGACACTGGGTTTGCAGGGGGAGATGTTTATGTAGCAGAAACGGGCCCCTGGGCGTGGCTTTCTCCGCAGGTAGAACCCATGTCCTTGCTGTGTTTGCTTTGGCAGTGGGCCCAAGATTACTCCCCTGGCTCTGGACCTCCGTCCAGTTCTGGGAATGGGTTTGCCAAGGTCAGTTTCCATGCAAACATTATTTTCAGGATCCTGGGGTTGTCCTCCGTTCCAGCGCCCAGTCCTGGGACCCAGAAAGGTCACACCACAAGAATGTTCACTGGGAAACCAACCAAGCCTCAGTTTACTCCTCCATCAAATGGCTAATCATACCCTCTTCTCAGGGGTTTCTAAATGAGAGTTAGTCCTTACAAATTGCTAAGAACTATGCCATTGTCAAGTCTTGGTATCATTTAATAAAAGGGACTAGAAAGCCAAGGTTTGGGAAAACAAGTGCTAAAAATCCCGAATCAAAGGAGGGTGTGTCTCAAGCTGGGAATCCACTTACCCACACTTCCTTCCATGTCAGCCAAGGTGCTAACATTCTTCTTGAATAAAACCAAATGGCAGCTCCATAGCCCAGGGCCCTGAACCTGAATGAAAGACTGGGTATTTCCATCAAAACAGTAACTTGACCACAGACCACCACATTCTCCATCCCAAAGGCTTGGCCCAGAGACAGACGAGGGGCTGAATTTTCCTGGATAAGGAATCCAGGAAGAATCTTTGATGAGCAACATAGTTACCTAACTGTTTCTGGGTTTCTTCTGTGTTTTCTCCTCCACAGCCATGGGCTCCCCGAAGGAAATCATCTTCTCAGACATCACTGAAAACTCGGCTACTGTCAGCTGGATGGCACCCACTGCCCAGGTGGAGAACTTCCGGGTCACCTACGTGCCCATGGCTGGAGGTAGGAGGCTCGGCGAGGCCACGGGGAGGAGGGGCCTGGGGGTCTGGGTAGAATAGTGAAGAGACCCTGATCATTCCTGTCCTCCCAACCATCTTCATGTTGGAGAGCATCTGGATAGACTCTACATTGTAAAGTGCTATGAAGTCCTAGGAAGAATCTACCATGGGAGGGTCATTGTATGAAGATCCTTTCCAGCCCTGAAATTCTAAACATCTGTGAGAAAGAGATCCCCAACATTGTGCTGACACAATGACAGAAGACACGGAATACACTGGCCTTTCTCTTTGAGCATGCTCATCTGAAAAGCTGGTCTTGACCTGGACGTATGTGAGGTTTTTGCCATTGGGCCCCCAAATCTATCTGTCTCAGTAAAGGATGGGAAGTTGTGACCTAGTAGAATTGAGAGTTCTAATTCAGAGCACATCGGCTGTAATACAAATGACCATGGAGGATGCACAGTCAAATCTGTCTAAAAACATTCTGGCAGGTAGTGAGCTCCCTGTTAGGGGAAGTGTGTACAGAGAGAAGGCTTGACAACCTCTTCAGAGGAATGCTGTAGCATCTCTATGAGGTGCTGAGTTTAACTAGCTGATGTTCAAGCTCTTCACCAGTCCCCAAATTCTAAGAAATATAAATTTTGGGCTTTTTAATAACTGTCAGAGTACAGACTTGATTATGACTATCTTCTCTTCTTAAAGAATAGAATCCTTACTGGTAAGGGAGCCTATATATGCCTAACCTAAAACAATGGGTTAAATATGTTACATGGGCATCACATGGTGAGCTTCCCATATTCTTTGTGAGAAAAATAAATAAAATTTGTACAACATGACAGCTCTCTACCGAACGGAAATTTGCCATTTTTAACACATTGTGACTTCATGTTTTTTCCTCTCCTGGCTTGGATTTTGGCATCTGCCTGGATGGAAAATTACATTATACAAAAAGTAAGACCTCTTCTCTTATGCCAGAGGGCAAGAGCAAATGAGAAGTCAAGAAAATGGCACTGGTATGGTGTCATCTCCGGATCGGGTACACCCACTCTTGGGGCAACAGTGAGTGCGTTTCGGCGAGGCTCCCCAGCCCCGACGCTGCTTTACTGTGTTCCAGGTACACCACAAGTGGTCACTGTGGACGGAACCGGGACCCGGGCCAGGCTGGTGAAACTCTTACCTGGATCCGAGTACCTTGTCAGCATCATCGCCACAAAGGGCTTCGAGGAAAGCGAACCCGTCTCGGGAACCTTCACCACAGGTGCTGTTGTCGCCTTTAGTATTATCGCTCATGACTCAGCAGCTGGGAAAATGTTTCCATTTAGGAAATCTTAGTGGGAAGTGGACGGGATTTGAAGCATCACATGCCTCATTTCGGGCCCATCCCCTTCCTCCTATGGGCTGGGGAACCCTAATTTTATCCTTAAACACCCTGGACCTTTGTTTCCTGGGGCCATATGGAAGGTAAAGGCCAAGCTGGGGAGTCACGCTGAGCTGGGTTGAAATCCTGGACTGACCATTTCTAGATACATGAGCAGTCAATTCAGTTCTTTAGGCTCTAGCTTCCTTCTCTGTGAAATGGGTACAATTCTGCTTCCTCTACTGTAAGAATCACATGAAACAATATAGGTAAAGCATCTGTATATAAGATGACTGTGTACAATCAGCCTCCACCCCCTTCCCCACCTGGTGCCAGCAAATCACGAGGGTCCTTTCAAGCAGGTGCTTCACACAGACGTGATACAGTGGCAGCTACCAAGTTACTGCTCTCAACTGAGCAGCCACTGAATTCCCGGCTCTGTTACTAATCCCTTCACATTTAAACCATTAAAATGGCTATTGTCACTCCCATTCTACAGAGGAAACAACTGAGACCCAGAGCCCTATAACTAGTAAATGCTGGAGACAAATTTCAACTGAGGTCAGTCTAGCTCTGTGTGCCTCTCAAATAAAGGATTGTTTTCCTGTTACAACCTGATTTGGACAGCGCCCAGTGAGGAGGGGGAAATAATGAATTGCATTGAAGAAGAATGAACTGGGAAATTTCTCTTCAGGCAGCCATGTCTCTAAACAATTTATCCTTTGATATATGAGCAATTATCCAGTCTAATCCATTCAAAGATGCAAAGAATGGGCTTTGTAGAAATTTTAAAAATACCCTAATAGCCTCAAAGAGTTTATAACATGCAATTAAAACATCCTATCTGAACCCAGAGTCCTGTCCACCCTGCCACACAAGCCCTTGTTGCCCCCACAGAAGTTTTTCATTCACAGATTCTCCATGGCAGCAGACAGCGAAAGCTGGATGCCTTTCTCCCCAAGGCACCAGTGTCCTCGCCAGTTAAAGGAGATTCTGTGCAGGCATGATGAGGCAGGAAGGAACTCGGAGCGGAGGATCTGGGTCCCCCAAGTCACTCGGCCACTCCTGACTGTCAAGGCCAGTCATTGCCTCCCTTGGGACTCAGGCGTGTCATCTGCAGAATGAGCTCATGACAGCTGCCCTCCACCCTCCTGGGGCTGCTATACTGAAATAATTAAGTGGTAAATGGGGACACAAGAGGAAAATAGTCGTAAGTAGCTTGGTTTCTAAAAAAGCAGTGTTGGGTAGCAGCAGTGGTCAACCAAACGGGCCAGGGCCCTGTGAATATCCATCCTTTCCCAGACCAAGTCATTGGGAAATCGTATCAATGACTCCAAGTAACTTGAATGCTCTATTGATAACACCGCCATTATTGAGCGCTGTCCCCAGCACACATCACACACAGCACCAGGTTCATCTTTGCAACAGTCCCCCTTTGACAGCTGAAGGAAGTGAGGTTTGCAGAAGGAAATGACACAGGCCACACAGACCCCAGACAGAGAGGCCAAGGCGGAGCCCAGCCCCCAGCCCCCAGCGCCCAGAGCCCACGTCCTCAACAAGCCATCTAACCAGAGCTCTCACTCAAACCCCAAAAAGCCTCAGGCAGCCTTCACTCCATAAGTTTCCTGTGTGTGTGTGTGTGTTTTTAAGTTCCCTCCCTTGGGAAAGCAACAGGAACTATAATGATAACTTGTCACGTGTCCAGCCCTTTCCATTTGATACAGCATCTTTCCACCTATGATATCATGTGATGATCAGAATAACACTGAGGATTCCACCAAGCAGAATGAGTATCCCTACTTTACAGATGGGGAAATAGAGACCCAAGGTAACACGTCCAGCAAGGGAAGACTCAAACCCTGCTCATCCTGGCTCCCAGGTCAGGACTCTAAACCTTCCATGCAGCTGGCGCTGTGTCCCCAGCCAGGAGTCCGGGAGCAGAGTGGGCAGCAGAGGTCTGATGACAGCTGTGATCTGCGGTCCTACCCACGATTGCCTATCTCTGACACATCATCTTTCTTTGCAGCTCTGGACAGCCCCTCTGGCCTGGTGACAGCCAACATCACCGACTCAGAAGCCCTGGCCATGTGGCAGCCAGCCATCGCCCCCGTGGACAGTTATGTCATCTCCTACACAGGGGAGAAAGGTGAGGCTGTGTCCAAGACCCTCCCCACTGTGGGGAGCATCTGCTCTGCTGAAGCTCTCCCCGTTCTCCCTTCTCTGGCCACCTTTGGTGAAGGATGACAGAAATGCATGGGGAGGCTGGAAGGCCAGCAGTGTCCCCGTGGCTCTCCATTTCCACCTCAGAACGAGGGCTGGGGCAGGGGCAGGGTGGGGGAGGTGGGGCCTGGTAGGGGAGTGGCAAGGAAGCCCTGCCTGTGTGCCACTGCCTGTTGTCAAAGAGCTTGCATGTTGTGGTTTTGTCAAGGAAGTCCCGTCGTCCATCTAAAGGAAAACTAAAGGCAACCATCCCTAGCCTATTCCTCCTCTCCTGCAAGGGTCTCCACCTTCCGGCATCAGCCACCCTCTCTTCCTCTCTAGGAAGCAGCTCTCATCTGTTAGAAAGAAGGGGTTCAGAAGCTTAATCTTAAAGTGGCTACTTCAGGTGATTCTGGGAACCTAGGCTTTCCAGGGGCCACAGAGGGGCCAGCGGTAGCAAGTTTGAGAAATCAGAAGGTATTGTTCCTCGTCTTTGCAAGCCTCTTTGGTAAGATGCTCAGTTGGCAAATTAAACACCTGTTTTATTAAACTCCAATGCAAATAAGAGAGGAGAGGGATTCCTTTCCAATGAATGAGCTATACGTTTGTAATGAGCTCCTCTAGAAAAAATGTTACTACATTAATCTCAAAGCATATGCTAATTTTATATTTGATGGTTCAGTAGGGTTTTCCTTTCAGTGACTAGAGGACAAGGCGCCATGACCTGTGTCTGGGGCCTTTGAACACCTGAACTCAGGCCGGCACCAACCTGAGAGAATTCTTTGTGAGGACAGAGCCTGGGGGAGGGAATGGGGAGGAGGATAGGTGTGTGTGTTTATTCTTTTTATTCTTCAATTCATAAATATTTTCTATGGACAAACGCTTCTGAGTCTGAGAAGATGGTGTTGTCTCACCTAAAACACATCAGAATATAGCTCACGGAAATCATGGAAATTTTGAGTGCCTAGGAAAGGCGTGATCTGGGGGTGTGGAGGGGGGCTCATAGATGATGTGGTGGGGTGGCCAACTCGTTCCAATTTGCCCAGGACTTTCCCCGTTTTAGCACTAAAAGTGCCACACCCTGAGACACTCCTCAGTCCCTGGCAAGCCAGGATGGCTGGTCACCAGCGATTAGGGAATAAACACATACACTCGGGCACTAATGTTTGGTTTCTACCTTGGACCTGACCCAGTGGGTCTCAAAGGCAGGACCAGACTCTGGTACGTCTGTCGCCCGACTGTTGTGGTCCTCCAGCCTAATGACTTGACAACATTTGTCAAAGTATAAAAGGCCATGTAAGTAAGGAAGAAGGAGAGGGACAACGAGCCCTGAGACAGATGAAGTGTGGGCAATATTTAAAGATGTTCCAGCACCACTCCTCCAGCTGTGCCTGCACGATCTGGAAAATTCTCCTGACCCCCAGTTCCCCTTTCTTCTGATTTGGTGCCTGGAAAAATTCAGTCTCCATATGATGAATCCTTTGTACATGAGCTGAATGCTTAAGAGAGAGAAAGGGGCGTGAGTCATTTCAGGAACTCGAACGTGCCTTTCTGCAGGGCCAGTGAAAGTGTCTGTGTGAGAAGGAGGTATGTGCGCTGCTGGCGGAGTCTGCTGGTGGCTCAGACCAGCAGAGGTAACTGCCTCGGTGTGTGTGTTTCATGTGCAGTGCCAGAAATTACGAGAACAGTGTCCGGGAACACGGTGGAGTACGTGCTGACCAACCTCGAGCCGGCCACGGAGTACACGCTAAGGATCTTTGCAGAAAAAGGGCCCCAGAAAAGCTCCACCATCAATACCAAGTTCACGACAGGTACAAAGACACCAGGAGCCCCTACCTTAGACAGTCCCCTCTCCAGCGTCCTTCTTCAGTCCGATCCGTGCAGCGTCCACTACCAGCCAAACTCCCCAGCACCCACTCCGTCTGGGCCTGAAGAAGCACACGGCTTCCTGTTGACCTGAGATGACCTGTTCTCCCAGTGGACCAGAAAACAATTTTAAAAGAAGAGCTTTTAAGTAGAAAACCAGCCCCCACTGGCCCTCAATTCAGTATTTAGTGAGCCATGTTCTAGACAAGGAAATATTGTGAGAGAAAGATTGTTCAGGCAAGTTTGTCTAAATGTCTGTTGAGTTTTTATACATTGAGATCTTTTCACAAACTGTAGCAAGCAGGGAAATGGAGGAAGTGCCCTCTCAGTAGGGGTGAGCATCAATATGGGTATCCATCTGTCCTCTTGTTTAGGAACAAGGGACATCGGTGACATGTCCACAGCTGTGTCTTTCTCTCCCAGTCCAAGGCCCATCAAGGCTGGGTTGGGCTCGGGAAAACCTGGTCCCTCGGATGAGATGGAGCCCAGAGGACATATGTCTGTGGAGATTATATGGCTCAACCTCCTCATTTACAGATGGGGAAGGCTCCATCCAAGGTCAGGTAGAGCAATGGTTAGAAAAGGACTTAGACCCAGGCCTCCGGATACCTAGCCAGGGATTTTTGTCTTGCACATGCCCACTTATCTGCTGTTGGATGTCTTATCTTCGCCAGACCTCGATGCTCCTAGAGACTTGACTGCTACCGAGGTTCAGTCGGAAAGTGCCGTCCTCACCTGGCGACCCCCCCGGGCATCTGTCACCGGTTACCTATTGGTGTATGAATCCGCGGATGGTACAGTCAAGGTATCTTGAAGTATATAAAAAAGTCTCCACTGCTAATTGAAACCTTTCTGTTATTCTCAAAGTAGGGAAGAATTATCTGGGTGTGTTTCTCTATCCCAGTGCAACTGAGAAACTGGAAAAAAAATTAATAGGGACTGGATGCCATGCCTTCTGAATCATATGCTCCAGCATCTCTCATTTCCATCAGACTCCAGTTTTGGTAGCCGGCCAAGGTCAAGAACCACTGCTCATAAGACTTGAGAACAGTTTGGGAGCTGGATTCTTGGTCTGTTAACATTTCGTTGAGCAAAGGCCAAAGGCTTCTTCTGCATTTTTGCCACATATACGTACATTACCTCCCAGAGGGCATCTCTCTGTTGTATGTTTGAAATACATATCACCGTGGTCTTATGACTTGAACGGTGGGTACTGTTCACAGGAGTGGTTCATGCTATTTATTTCTCTACCCAGGAACATTTTCCCTTTTACTTTTTAATTTGAAATAACTTTAGACCTTCATGCAAGTGAGATTTTCCTAACTTAACCTGCTAAACCTTGTTAATGAATTTTTAATTTCGGTCATCACCCTTTACATTTCTGGGATCTCTTACTTAGTCTCTGCACATTCATCTGTTCCTAGCATATTGTTCACGTTTTATGCATCATCTTCTCTTTATCTCCGAGAATGCATGTTATTGCTTTTTTATTCTACAACCTGCAGTGTTTCTTCCAAGTTCTTTTCCGCTTCACTACTGTTGGTTTGGTTTAGGTCTCCATCTTTCATGCTGGAGACTTCTACCCAATGTCTGTTGGTCCTTTTCCCTGGAGCCAAGAATGAAACAGCTGATTGGGAATTCCAGTCACACAGACAGGGCCTGTCAACTATGGGGCAAGTACCCAGCAATCTGGGGCAGGGGGACTCCCAAGTATCAGTACTGTAAGCCTTTTCTCTTGAGCAACTGAGTCTCCCTGGAGGACCCTCCAACTCCTGCAAACCAGGCTGCCAGGAGCCCAACTAGAGAAAGAGTGTGGGCCCCACTGCGCACAAACTTTCTGTTTCTGGTGTGATACCCCAACCTCCCCTGCAGCTATCCCTGCTGGGTTTGGACAAGAGCCCCTTCCCTGGCTCAGTCTTTCCGGAGGCTAGACTCAGCCTTCCCTCTGGGCTGGGAAGGACCATCATGCAGACTGTTAGAGCTGGGGGGGGGTCCTTCTCTCACACAAAGCTTTTAAACAAACTTTTGCTCAGCCATGCCCCACACTGACCTTCAAAGGCATCTTTGCCCCTGCCTGCATTCCATTCCTGAACTCCCTGGGTGCTGGGGCATTCGTCATCAAGCCTCTGAGGGCTCGGCCAACTCAGTCCCCAGCATTCTCCATTCTGTCCCTCAGCTGTCACTCCCCTGCACACTTTCTATCTACCAGGATTCCGCTGGCACCACGTGCCTGGGGCTGTCTCCTCTGCCATGTCCCTCACTTTGTGGGTTTACACTGTATGTCCCTTCATGCTCATTTTAGTGGACATCAGAGGCCAGTAGAGATAAACCGTCATGTCTGATCTTCCGTGCTTAGCCAGAAGCAGACACACGCTTCTAGTTACCATCATGGCCCTGCTTGGAGTTGGTATAACAACGAACTAACTCCCTGTGTGAACAGAGGCAAGTCCCTTACTTTCTCTGGGGGGCAGTGTTCACATCTATAAGATGAATGCACTGGACCCACCAATCTCTAAGGTCCCTTCCTGGCCCGGCAGTCTAGGATTTGGTGTCCACCTAAAGTCATGAGTCTCATTTCAATCCATCCTAGTTGCCTAGAAAATGACTGCACAGCAGCCTAGAGAGCTCATAGGTAATTGTATCCCCAAGTAATTCAATGAACCCAGCTTTGTATCTGATCCTTCCCCAAGGGCCAGACCTGGGGGCCATGCAAAGGTCACAAGGTCACATATCAAATGGGCACTCACCCTGGTTTACTTTCCTGCATGGCCAGTTCCCAGCTTTATGCGAGTCACTCCAGAAAATCAGCCCGGTGTAGGACAGAAGAGTCCTGGACAAGATACCAGGGGACCATCCTCTGCCACCAATAAATTATGGAGTGAGAGCAAGTCTCTTGGCTTCTCTGAAACCCCACCCCCATTGGAAGAATCAGGATAACTTCACCTGCTGAGTTGCGAGGGTGAAGAGAACCTCCCAGGGGCCTCCGTACTGAGTCATCACTGCCTAACCCCGGTCAGCTGTGTCTGCAGATTGTACAGAGCACTGCTGTGTTTGGTTAGCTAGGAATGCAGGTTGAATTCCAGGCTCACACACCAAGGTTGTTTGCTAAAAGGTGACTTCACAGGCATGGGAAGCTAGAAAGAAGATTTGAAAAGAAAGAGAATTTCCTGCACATCGAAACCGATCACCTCTGGACAGCAGCACAGTGACCAGTCACAGACTGCAAGCGTAGTTAGCTTGCAGATGTGTGCCGCAGCTGCGCACGTCTGCCTCTCCTGGATGCCTTTGCTCTAGAAGAGAGGCATGCTGGGTCAGCTCCAGTCTTCACACGCCCTGCCTACCAAGCACTGCAATCACCTCCTGACTGAAGAGAGCCCCAAACCGACTGGGCTTCAGAATCATCTGGGGAGTTTCTCAGATAGGCACCTGAGCAGGCCCCACTTCCAGCCCTTATGATCCCGTCAGTCTGGGATGGAGCCCAGGTGTTGTATTATTTTAAAGCTTTCCAGAGGGCTGTGAAAAAGAGCCATATTTAGGGACCACTGATATAACTGTCTCAAAGTCTAAACCTTTTGTCCTTCGTGTAATTCACCTTGCTACCATATTACATTGGGCTCATCTCATAAACCTTTTAGGAATCTCCATTTCTTATCATGACATACTTTAAATTCCACAGCATGGCATTTAAGTCCCCTGGTCATCTGGTCTTTTCCTACCTCTTCTGGCACTCCCCCACCAAGAACCAAGGATGTCTGGGGCACGTTGTTGCCTTTTCATATTATTTTAATTAGCTCTGCCTCTCCTGGCCCCAAGACCTTAGCTCATGCTGCATTCCCCCATCTCTGACATCTGAGGAGTGAGCATGGAGCCTGGCACAGATTGGGACCAGTGGATTCTTGTTAAATACAGAAATAAATGGGAGTAAAAGGGAAGAAAAAGAAATAAATGGATGGTTGAATGAATGAATGCATCATCTGTACCCAAGGATTTATGTGGCCAAAAGTTATTCTAGTCTTTCTTCTGCCCTTAGGAAGTCATTTTGGGGCCAGACACCACCTCCTACAGCCTAGCAGAGCTGAGCCCATCCACTCACTACACAGCAAAGATCCAGGCACTGCGTGGGCCCCTGAGGAGCAAGCTGGTCCAGACCATCTTCACCACAAGTAAGCAGCTCAGGGATCGAACTCTGTGAGCTGAACCAACCCTCCTCTCCTTCTCTGACTGCTACATTAACCCTTTCTACCAATCTCTAAAAAGGATCAGTTCCCTGCTACTACCTGAAAGTCCAAGGAGTGTGGGTGCAAGGGATAACGGGGCTCGTGGGGAAAGGGAAGGAGGGTCAGCAAGTATCACTACTTACTGGACATTTGGACTCAATCCTCATCTCCACCACTTGCTCTGCGTGACTCAGGAAAATCGCTGCCATTCCACAAGCCTCAGTTATTCCATCTATACAATGGGATTAATAACCATCCCTTCTTCACAAGACCTTTGTGAGGGTCCTTGCATTGTATTTGACATCCTAGCCCATTGTGTGGTCCATTCTCAGGGCTCATTGTAAGTTTAGGGTCCCTCTCTTTTTTTCTCAGGATGTCAGCATTTACAAAGCCTGTCCAGATTCAGAATCACACACTGTATTCCCACCAAGCAGGTGTGGTGAGCCAGGAATACAATACCCAGTTTTTGGTGGGGTAATAGAGGTTCTCAGAGACTCAATGACCTGCTCAAGGCTACACCATGGGTTAGAGTCAGATTTGGGCTCAGGTGTTCGAGGACCAGGGCACCCTCTCTGCACCCTGCCACTGGGTGTCTTCTGCAGATGGCAGACACGCAAGGTGTTCCACTGGTGAATAAGAGGAAGCAGCCATTCCTGGGAAGGGAGGCATCGGGCTTTGTACAGCCTTGAACCTGCCCTTCATGCTTCACTCTGGTCACTCTGCATACACCTGCTAAAGGACGTGCACAGGCAAAAGTACCTCTGACAGAACTTACGCCAGGTGCTGAGAACACAACAATATGAGTGTATCCTAAAGATGCTCTCAGAGTAGGGCTATGAAATAGACAACAGCTAATGCTGCAACCTCAGGTGAAGGTGAAGTACAGTGGTCCAGTGAGGAGTCAGATCAGAAAAAAAACTCCTCTGGCCGTCAATTCTCTGTGCCACCTGCTAAGCACAGACCCAAGACGGTCTGTATCCATCATGTTTTTAATGTTTTCCATCACATTATTGCACTTGGAGATTCCCCAGGCATTCTCGTGTTCCCCTATCTAAGATTCCCAGGCTCAGGGCAGTTAAATGCCTTCTCTGGCACCCCAAGGCAAGGAAGGGGCAAGTTGAGGACTAGGACCCTTATCTTTGGTTTCTGAGTTGTCTGATGACACTGGGGCACACCCAGCGTAACAGCGTGCCCTGATCCACAGCGGGCCACCCGCAGGGTGCTAGGAATCCAGCCATCCTGGCCAGTACCCACGTGCTCATCAGGTGCTGCCTGGCTGCTCCAGGCAGATCAAGGCCAACCTCCTACATGCCCATCCCAGTGGCTTAGCCCTCCTCCTGCTGCCATCACTGATGGCTTCCATCCGTCTAAGGGACTGAGACAGATGTGTCCCTTACATCCATAACCTCTGCACCTCATTGCATCCTCGCAAAATAGGTTCTGTCCCCACCTTGCATGTAAGGGAACAACGTCTCAGAGGGTAAGTCATCCAGCCAACAAACAGTAGCACTGAAATGTGCAAGCTCCACCCCAGGCCTCCCGCTCTGACAGCCACCCTTTCCTCTCACCCTGCAGTTGGACTCCTGTACCCATTCCCCAGGGACTGCTCCCAAGCAATGCTGAACGGAGACACAACCTCTGGCCTCTACACCATTTATCTGAACAGCAATAAGACCCAGCCTTTGGAAGTCTTCTGTGACATGACCTCTGACGGGGGTGGATGGATCGTGAGTATCACTGAAACCTCAGGAAAGAGGCCTGGGGGCAGAGGGCACATGGGGCGGGAGGGGCGGAGGTCCTCTCCCTGCACTCTGACCCCAAGGCACATGAGGCTTTGTCAGATATCACCTGTCACACAGAGACTTTCAGGGATTAGCTCTTATACCAAAGACTGGGAAAGAAGCTGTGGGTTAAAAAAAAAACAGAAGAAAATCATTTTCTTGTGACCTCCCTCCTCTGATCCTCAGCTGTGTGATGCATAAATATGACAGTGGTCATACACTCTGTGTATTAATTAGTGCCTGCTCTCTACCAAGCACTGTGCCAAGAACTTTATATGAATTATTTCAATCTCTACCATGTGATCTGGGTAGTGTTTTGCAATTGATAAACTTTATTTTTTTTATTGTTCAATTACAGTCTCAATTTTTCCCCTGTTGCTCTCCCCTGTCCTGCCCATCCCTCCCCCCACTCCCTCTGTCAATCCCCACCCTGTTGTTCAAAGACTTAAACTATTTTTTAGAGCAGTTTTAGGTTTGCAGCAAAATTGAGCACACAGTACAGTGAGTGCACACATACCCTGGTCCCTGCATGCAGTCTCTCCCACTATCATCATCCCACCCCAGGATGATGCATTTGTTATAGCAATGTCCTGCATTGACACATCATTGCCACTCAGAGCTGGCTGGTATTGTTAGTCCCTATTCTTTAAGTGAGGACACCAAGGCTCAGAGAGGGGAGGGGACCTGCCCAGAGTTACCTGGCAAATTGTGACAGGGGGCCAGTGCTTTTCCTGCAGTCGAACGCTCTTCCTCCCAGGAAGATGCCTTCTCCCTCCTTCAATAGCTTACACGCACCCAGCTTCACTGGTTATGTTCACAGGTATTCCTGAGACGCAAAAACGGGCGTGAGGATTTCTACCGAAACTGGAAGGCCTATGCTGCTGGCTTTGGGGACCGCAAAGAAGAATTCTGGCTTGGTAACGCAGCCCTGCATGTCTGTGACCCAACGTCCATGTCTGCCCTCCTTGTCGCTGTCCCAGCCCACAGCAACCTATGGGAGAGAAATGGATGAGGAGGAGACAGCTCTGGTGGTAGACTCAGAATTTCAACTCCTCAGTGGAAAATACTTCAAATTCTCTGGATCATTAAAAATAAAAATCTGGTCAAGGGAAAGCGAACAGCCAGGCCTTAAGAATGAGCTTAGCCTTACATCATTCACTGAACCATTTATAAAATCATCCTTATTGATACCATTAACTGCTTCTGTTCTGGTCTCCCAGGGCTGAGATGGGCTGCTTATAACCATCACCTCTAAGCACCCCTGCAAGGTACAAAATCCCCATCTTGCCCAAGAGTCTAGCCGACACTATAAGCATTTGAGCTGCAATTTGAAATCTCCCAAGCCAACATTACACCCATACACCCACGCAGCTGACACTTTCCCACAACCTGCCTGCAGAGGGCACTGTCCTGTGCATCAGTGCCTAGGCGGGGAAGGTGGATCCTGCTGTCCTCCATTGTCCTTCACTTGTAAGGAGCTTTAGAGTTTATAAGGAGTTGTTTCCACCTTACCTCCTTTAATCTTCACAATACCCTAGGTGGTTGGCAGGGCAACGCTTGCCACCCTGATTTTACCTGAGAATGACATCAGGTAAAACATCATCTGTTTTGCCTGGTGTTGCACCAGCAAGGATCGAGCCTGGGTCTGTGTATGACCGCAACTCCCGTTAGCATTTACAGTCACTGCTCTGACATGGTGGAGTAGAAGTAATGGCCTCAGTCACTTGCGCATCTGCATCAACCCCTGCCTGTCATCCACAGGGCTGGACAACCTGAACAAAATCACATCCCAAGGGCAGTACGAGCTCCGTGTGGACCTGCAGGACCGCGGGAAGACAGCCTACGCCGTCTACAACAGGTTCAGCGTGGGAGATGCGAAGACTCGCTACAAGCTGAAGGTGGAGGAATACAGTGGCACAGCAGGTAGGAACCCACAGGACCGGCTCGTGTTTTCGGCTGATCCCTGCATTCATCATCCCATCCTTCATGAATCCATCCATAAATTGCATCAACAAACATGTGAATCCCTACTGGAAGCCAGTGCAGAAGAACTGCTGTTGAACAGGGCTGGGTAGATAGGTATTTTGGTCACTGAAACAGAGGAGGTTGGGACGCAGGACAACCAGGACTGATCTGCAGCTGCCATCACTTAAAAAGGTGCCTTCTTATCCACTTTCAGATACCAGTTTTAGACTGATAGAAAAACAGTCTCTCAGACTTTAATACTCACGTGAGCCAGTGCTTCTCAGTTTCCTGTGACTGGAATGTGCACTGCTGACACATCGAGAGCCAGCGTTTCTTCCAGGTTCCCTGGTGGTGCCGCCCACTGTGGGTGGTGTTGCTGGTCTGTGCAGACAATCCACTCCATCACCCAAGTGTCTGAATCTCTTCTAAGACATCCCTGTCACAAGGTCATCCCGACGCTCTCCAGCAGCCTTTTCGTTCCTTGTCTCATCCATAACCTAGTTCAGGTCTCAAAGATTTCTTTGACTTGAAATGACCTTTGCATGGTTTCCTGACTCCACTCTAGAGGAGAAATAAGTAGGGAAACCTGCATTCAGGCCTGGTAGGTAATACCCTCTTTTACAGACATTCCCCACACATGACCCCCATTTAACTCTCACAAAAACTGTGCCAGGAAGACACAGGGGAGAAAACCAAGGCTCAGAAAAACTCAGCGATTTGCCCAAGATGAAACAGCTCATAGCAGGTGGGCCTGTTACAGAACAGGGCCCAGGGGGGTGTATGATATACTATTACCGAAAGGACCCCACCCCAGGTTTGTTTGTCCACCGCCAGAGGAAAGACATCTCCCAATGCCAGAGATTTGCGAAAAGGAAAGGAAATGTTTATTTAAAGCACAGAGACTTAAAGTAGTGAGCTAATATCTTCATCAAAATATTAAAGTCTTTTAAGATACCCACAGACACACACAGTCCTTCCTTCACCCCCTGCCCTTATTTGGGGTACCGGATCTCAGGAAAAGTTGTAGTCTGTGATTCAGGCTCCCGGGACCATCAGCTATGTTGCCACCAGGATCTCCAGTTAATCCAAAACCATGTAGCACCTTCTCATGGCCCACCAACAAAAGTCCCTGTACCCCTTTTCTTCCAGGCAAAGCCTCTCCTACTTCTTAAGCCATGTAGCCAAAGAGAGCACCCCAAAGCCACATGGTTCTCTCCCAGCAAAGCTGCAGAGGTCTCCACTCTGCCAAAACCACGTAGCTCTCTCCCTGCACTGCCATGGCCATGTGGTCCTCTCCTCAATGGCTGCCGCGTCTGCGTTTAAATACCCGTGCCAATCTTCCTATGCAACATCATTTTCAACTCCTCCTATAATCGGTTACACGTGCCAGCATTCCCGTATCCTTCCAGCTTTACTGGGCTGCCATTGTGAGTCCGGGCAGCTGTGGCTGCATGGCGTGGAGCCAATCTTCTCCAAACTCTCATGCAGGTGCTATAACCAGGGGGAATTGCCTCCCAGTTACATCTTGGGTGGAGGTCACTTCCATCCCCCTGGCTCAAAGCATGGCCACAGCTATTTAACATATCTATGAAACCAGTTAGCTATTGCTGTACAAAACAGCCCTGCGTGTTCCTGTTCCATGTGTCCCTTCCCCCCACTCATACCTGTGTGGGGAAGAGTGAGGACATCCTATTATTTCCTGGATACCTTGAGTTCTGGACCACATTCCAAATCCCTATTTGGGGCCCCCCTCTAGGCTGTACCCTGTTACAGGCCCAGGGCACAAGCCTAGCTGCAGAAGCTGTTCTTGGTATCAAGACAGATCAGGTCTGAGAGTGTGCCCAGCCCATGCCCCCCAGGCCCACTTCGGGCAACGCTCAGTTATGTGCATGAAAACAGAAGAGAGAGATGCTGTGGTACTATCCAACCTCTCTGAGCCCTCCAAGGAAACATCTATGATGGGGAAAAAAAGTCTCCTGGTAAAGGTTCACCAAAAGCCAGGCTCAGTCAAAGAAGAGAGGGAGCTGTTAGAGAAGAGGAAGACCTGGGGGCAAAAACTGTTTTTGTTCTTGCATCCCTCAAAGAATTCTGATGGTTTACTACCTGGCAATAAATACCTCTTTGGTTCAGATGGCTTCAGGCAAAAAGGGTCTAGTTACAAGGCAGACAAAGACGGATGGAGCCGCAGGAATGAGGGAGCCTCCGCCCACCAGTCTCTCTGTATTCCCGCCCCAGATGAGCTGGGATGTGCCCCTGCACACAGGCAGCCCTGACAGGGAGCATCTCATCAGCTCCTGCCTGCCGTGTTCATGCTCTTGGCAGCTTAAAAGGGCATCTGAGCCCTCTGACAACTTGCTCCAAAATATCAGGCTCATGTGCCGTGGCATTTCATATTTTTATGCACAGCACTGACCGGGTGGGGAGTGAGGTACGTGGAAAGAAAGGGCACTTAAATGTTCCTAAAAGTCAACGTATTAAGTTACAAAGTAGAGTCCCAGAAAGCACTATGAATGGACTTTTTGTCTAAGAATCAGGGAATGCTGGTCCCATAAACACTATGAAAAATACATGATACGCAGGCTATTTGGTGACACCTAATATCTGAAGGGTTTTCGTTCTAAGTATGGCTCTAAATATTTGTATTTGGGGAAAGCATTCTTGAATGCAGATTTCTCACATCACTCAGTGAGCTCCTTTATGGAAAGATGCAAAAAACCGTAAAAAGAACAACAACCCTAACTATTTGCTCAGCACTGTGCCTTTATAGCACACGCCGTCATACACAGTCCCGACAGCACCCTGAGGTGGATAGAAGCAATATGCTGGTTCCATTTTTAAGATGAGAAAACAGGTTCAGCAAGAGACTTGACTTGTGCAAGGTCATGGCTACGGAATAGAAGACATGGGCCTTGAAGTTGGACCCTCCGAAGCCACCCACAGCCCTCTTTCTACCAGATTATGCTGCTTCCATCAGAAACGCATCCTTGGTGACACTCATAACCCATCCAGTCCTGTATGTGATCCTAAATCTGGGTCCAATATTCAAGGCCGGCCCACCCCAGGACCTTTCCATTGTCACCCCTGGTTCTGCCCTTCGCAGCCCACAGAAAACTCCAGCTGGGATCTCTCAGGCATGTACTTTCTCTCTCCCAGGTGATTCGATGGCCTACCACAATGGCAGGTCCTTCTCCACCTTCGACAAGGACACGGACTCAGCCATCACCAACTGTGCTCTGTCCTACAAGGGGGCCTTCTGGTATAAGAACTGTCACCGTGTCAACCTAATGGGCAGATACGGAGACGATAACCACAGTCAGGTGAGTAGATCGTGAGGCCGAAGTCCCGGCTTGGGAAACTGGCTGGGGGTGAGACTGGGAGGCAGGAACCTCAGGTAGATGGTGTGTTTTTCCCAGCACCACAAGGAGAAACCCCAGTGGCACTGCAGGTCAGGGGAAATCACAGAAACAGCATGTGTGAACTCTTGAAGTTCCCAAGGGGAACTACTGGTCAAGTGGATTGCAGAAGAAAGCTTTTCCCGGACAAAATCTTTGAATGCCAAAGGGAGAGCAGATTCAGTGAAGGCCATCCAGGTGAAGCGGGGCGAGCCCAGGTGTTCCCTCCGTCTCGTTACGTTGCTGGTTACACTTCACTGCCTTCCCCCCAACATCAGTGTAGTACAGTCTCCTTGAAAAATAAAAAAAGCTACATGCCAAAAGGAAACCACTTTTGTCATCCTCCCAACCAATTTGGGGAGAAGAAGGAGATCATGTAAAAGGCCACCAGAGGGATGGGAGCTCGGCCCTAACTCTGACTCTGCTCCAGCCACTGTGACAGAATTCGTTTCATCTTCATAGCACCCTTCCAAGGTTGGCATTGTCAGGCTTTTAAAAAAATAGTGAAACTGAGGCCCAGAAATGTTTGATAACTTGTTCAAGACTGTTTATCTCTCAAGCCTGAGCACTAAGATTTAACACTATATTCCAGGTTCCAAAATGTGTTACATCTGTGGTCTTTCTGCCATTCCACACCAACCCCTATTAAAGTACTTTGTAGGAATCTTGTGGATTATAAACTCCCCTGCCTGTAGCTACTCAATCCTGTAACGTCCAATCAGGACCTGAATTCCGTTAGCACCTTTCCTAACGATGGCAAGTTTCATCAGCCGCCACTTTGTTTAAAGATGGTGGATCAAACCTCAGTGGCTTCTGACTGAAGTAAAATAACCGAGTCAGATCCTGCCGGCCCCTTTGAAAGCTTTCACTGCACAGATCAATAGACACAGGGGCAGCAGACAGCTGTGAGCTACCAAATAGCCACGTTGAAACAGAACTCGCTCCATCAACTAAGTAACAACGGTCAGTAAACACCTTGCCTAATGGAAACCAACCTGGAGGTCTTCTCTTTTTTGCAGGGTGTTAACTGGTTCCACTGGAAGGGCCACGAACATTCAATCCAGTTTGCCGAGATGAAGTTGAGACCCAGCAACTTCCGAAATCTCGAAGGCAGGCGCAAACGGGCGTAAAATTCAGGGACAACTCGGTGAGAGAGGTGTAGGGCCCAGAGGAAGACAAAAATTCTACCAAAGTATCAATACAACCCATCTAACCGTCAAGCCACACCTGGGCACTTGGCAGGAGTTAACATTGACCATGGAGCAGCGGGGCCACTGGCAGGAGCGCTGGCCTCCGAGCTCCGCAATTCCTTCCTTCGCACCAAAGACGACAGTCTCCAGCAGGTTTCTGTTTTGTTGTTTCGGATCAGCAAACCGCTCCCAGGGACAGCAGCACGAGGGTTTCTGGTTTCCCCTCTCGGGGCGCCTCTGGGGCTGGGAGAGGGGTGGGCTGTACAGTGGTAGTCTGTTTTAGAACCAGCTGTATTTTACACAGAGCTGTGTAATTAATTATCACTATTTTTGTTAGCAACGATTCAATGTGTGTCATTGGGAGCCATGCCTGTGTTTTACATTTCATACTGCAGAACCCAGACAAGCAATGCCGTTTCCATGTCAAGGATGTAATTAATGTTATTAATATAATAATGATGATGAAAGCTAAGGACTTTTAAAGACATCTTCCTTTCCAAAACACACGTGGACAGTACCTGATTGTATTTTTTTTAATAAAAGCACAAGTACTTTTAAACAGAGCTGTCATTTTGCCTTTTGTTGCTGAGCCTGAATCCCACCAATGCTAGTGAGCTTGAACCGGGCGGGCGCTGGAAAGTGAAGGTGAGGAGGGGTGTGGTCACGTGGGAGATGAAGGGCCGGAAGGGAAGGGAACACATTTTTGGACAAAGTTGAACAAGGTTGGGAAAAGCTGACAACTTCAGATTTGTCTTCTTGCTCAGTATTTCTAAGACTAATCGTTTATGGTTTAAAAGATCTTTTACACCCATTTTCTAAAGTAATCTCCTAACAATTTTATGACATAGACGAGGTGAGAATTGTTAAAATTCCCGGAAGCAGAACTGCCTGAGTTCAAATCTTGGCTCCACCATCCCCTCATTCCCTAAGTGCTCTGTGCCTCAGTTTCCTCACCAGTGAAATGGGGATGCTCACACTTCTTAATTTCAAAGCATTTCTGTGAAAAATAAATGATATTATCCATAGAAAGCCCTTAGCATAGTGCCTGGCATATATTAAATGCTAATAAGCATTAGTTATACTATTCCTCTTTAAATTTTACGTATTGATTTTAGAAAAGAGAAGGGAACGGAGAGAGAAAGAGAAGAGAAATGTCAATTTTTTTTGTTCCACTTATTCATTCATTCGTTGATTCATGTATGGGCCCTGACCAGGGATCAAACCCACAACATCGGCATATCAGGACGATGCTGTAACCAACTGAGCTGTCTGATCAGGGCATACTATTACTCTATATATGATGGATCGAGCTTCCTAGAAGCACAATGACTTGTCTGTGGCTACGTACCCAATTAATAACAGAACTAGGATTTAGACTCTGGCCCTCTGGCCCCGATGTTCCTGCTCTCCCCCAGGCCCCTGATAAAAATCTCTCCTTCCCCAGGAAAAGGGGTGCTATGGCGACAATGCACAGGTTGCAGAACGAGGAAGGTCCACTGGATCCTTCATCAGGATCCCACAATCCCCAAGCCTTAGAACTGAAAAGAATACCTGTTAGAAATATCTCCTTCTCCCCTACTCAAGGCCCCTAAAAAGGGCAGGGCCAGTGTCCCCCTGCCCTACCCTGAATACATCTGTAATGGGGAGAACTCACTGCCCAGCACAGCAGATCTGTTTGTGCTTGGGGAATGTGAGTCAGAACCACACATTATACATTTCTCTTTTAAAACAAGGGTATTGGGAGGATGGAGAAAGCAATTGCCGGTTCATTCCCTTAGGAACTTTCAGCAAATTGACTTAGTTAATGAAACGGTTTGGGCTGATAGGCCTCATTCAAATGGAATGTGATGGCTCAGAAGTGAGGATCAGAGGAATTTATGGCTCTGGCCAGACCCCATGCTGCTGAGTTTATCATGCTTTAATAAGTACTGTCATGTTATATACACAATTGGCTGTTCCAGATCACAGGACTTGTTGCCTGCAATTCAGCCATAGCAACACTGGCCTTGCTCTGTAAACCCAAACAAACTGGTGCCCTGCAACCCCCAGGCCTCAGTGGGAGCTTAACCCTCTCCTGCCTGCTGCCTTGGAGGTCTCTGAACTCCAGCCTCCTCCGCTCCCCAGAAAGTTAGATACAGCTAAGCCAGTAAGGCATTCCCCAGAAGCTGCTCAAGAATCAAATTGTGATTCGTGAAGAGGTCACATCAAACAGGAGACTTTCATTGTGTCCTTGGGAAGGTTGTAGGTACCCCCAGAAGAGGCTGAGGCCATGACATTCTGTGCTTCACAGCTGGTTTCAAACCGCCTACACACCCCAAGCTCTGGTCGAAAGTGCAAGGTCGCCGTGTCTCAGATGCATTCCAATCCAGTCACTGACTCCGTGACTTCATTCAAGCAACCTCCTCCCTCCAGAAAGGTCTCCTAAAATTCTACTCCACCCTCAAAGTCCAAGCCCACATCTGACCCCAACCCTCATAAAACACTAAGTAGCTTTCCATTGAGAATTAATTTCCAGGGTGTTTGGTCTTCCCTTTGCCCCTCCCCATCTGCCTGCCTCCCTTCTCCCTGCATTGTATCCTTCAAGGCCCCCGTGTGTGAATTATATCAATGCACCCCCCTGCCTGGGGCAGGGAGGAGTCAGGGTACTTATTTTCCAGCTTTATCTCTGTGGCATCATGGTGGGCTGTTTCCCTCATAACAGAGATACAGGACCAGTCAACTGAACATCTCCACGCAACCCTCCCATCGGGTTTCAAATAACTGCTCTTGCCCTTGCCCCTCAGGCCCAGGACAGTCTCTGCACCTCAGCTGCTGGTAGACCTGGGAGACCATGCTAGCCCATGCGGTTCTCCCCCACCCTGCCCACACCACTGGAAAGAGAGCCCCTCAACTCATACCACACCCACTCCTGTGAGTACCTCGCCCTCAGAACCACTCACAAGGCTGCCCGCTAGCCTGGCCTCACTGTGTCTATTCACGCCTCTCTCCCTGCTGCGGACATTGGTCATCTAATGCCTTCCCAACATCCAAACTCCTTTCTAGTTTTGGAGCATTTCCCATTGGGCAAGGACCCTGTCTCCCACCATGGAAGCCAAATGGAAAACTACCCTTTCCTCCTCCCCAGGGCAGCCAGAGTGTAGGCACATAATTTAGGCTTTGCCTGTTGGGTAACTGCAGAGGGACTTCTACTTAGCCTTGAGCAAGGAATGCAAACCAAGGAGTCCCTAAGGCTGGCTGGCCCACCGTCACAGTACCAACCACACAGCTCCATCCTCTGGGACTATGATCTATCCCACCTTCTCCCCTGCTGGGCTTGCCCTCTCCCGTAGCCACTCTCCTTCCCACCACGCCTCGCCAACCCCAGAGTATCCAGAGCTCCTTGTGGGCTGAGCTGATCGGATCTCTCCTCCCAGGGTTCTTAATTTCCTTTCCATTTCAAGTTAGCAATGAGCACCCCTATGTCCAGCACTAAGTGAACAAAATAACCACATCCCCACCCTTCAGAGCCTCCACACTGGGGACAGATGGCAACAGCCACCGCATCAGACAAGCCAATGGGAAACTGGAAACTGAGGTCGTGCTATGGGAGCAAGTACAGGACATGATGAGAACGGCCACTGGGCATGGGGCCAGGAAGGCTTCCCTGAGGAAGGGCATTGGAGTCATGATCTGCACGACAAGGAGGAGTTAAGCAGGGCAGGAGGCAGGAGAGGCAGAGGGCAGAGGCTCTGTCTCTGCAGGCCCTGAGGCTGCCAGGCTGCGCAGAAGGAAAGCCAGAGGTCCAGGAGGAGCAGGGCCACCCAGTCCTGCAGGTGGGTTCCCTTGGTCCAGAATAAGGATTTTGGTCTTTTTCCTTAGTGCAATAGGAAGCTACTCCAGGGAAGTATTATGACCATGTTTTTATTTATTTTTAACCATCTTTTTGTGACAGTTTGGATTTGGGCAAAGAGGTGCACGATGGGAGAGGCCTACACGGAAGCCACCGCTGGAGCCCAGGGGAAAAGGTTTGTGTAACCGTGGTGCCCTGAGGTGCAGTGTATGATTCTGAGAGAGGACAGAAGGTAAAAACCATAGGACTTGGGGGATCCAGAGAGCTTCTCCATATCCACACCCCTGCCCCCAAGCTGCCCCCTATGCCTACAGCGCATCTTTCCCAGACATGGATGTCATTTCAGTTAGGCCAGACTAATTAGGGACCTGGGGAGCCAGAGTCAAGGCGCCATTAACTCCAGGAGTGGGGAGGGCAGCAGGGTCCTGGAGCACTAGGGCATCGCTGCTGTTCGGATTTGGGTGAGGTGGGAGGGGGACTAGGGGAGCCTCCCTTGAGGTTTCCATGGTTAGAATGAGGGCGAGGCTGTGGCTGGATGCAAAGGTTGAAAGTGGGGCAGGGCGTTGCCTTGAAGGCTTTGTGTCCTCAGAGCACAGCTGAGAATTTCTGAAGACATTTAAGGCAGGAGCGACATCATCAGCATTGCTCTTTAGAAAGCCCACTGTCGCACTAGAAAGGCAACCTCCCCCAACCTGCGTCCCCTGGCCACAATGGGTGCTGGGAGGCTCCAAGGCACACCCTGCCTGGGTGTGAGCCGGTGTGATATATCACTGGCCAGCAGGGGGCTCACTCTCCTCATCCTTTTTCCTCCCCGGTGAGCCCTGAAATTGAACTGAGAGCTCAGAAAGGAAGCAGGAGAAGGATCTGTCCTTGATAATTGCTCCAATGCCAAGACTGGAAAACAGATTTCAGTATATTATAGGAAACACACACACACACACACAGTGAAAATAAGTAGCCGCCACATTGTCCCGGTGTGTTGTAGTTACAGGTTAAGAAATGTGTTTCAGAGCAATAAAATGACTTTCAAGTTCACTTGGCCTTGAAGTGCCAGACCGAGAACTAAAATGTAGGTCTTCTGCGCCCATCGGCCACAGAGCCCAGAGGAGCGCCATCTGCATACGTACCCTCTATCCGTTCTCTCACTGGGCACACACGGAGCACCTGCCGTGTGCCAGCTCTCACATTGCACGTTACAGTTGCAAGGCAGGTGTGATCGTAACAACTTCTCCAAGTAATTCTCTTTTGTAGTCAGAGCTGAGCTTGGGTCCTAAGTTTCGAAATTACCGAATGATTTTGGTCTACTCGCGTGATTTTTCTGAGTATCCCTAAAAATGAGAATGACGAGGGCCTACCCGGAAGAGAATGTGTGATGATTTAAAAGAGAAAATGGACGGGGCCTGGTCAGGAGAAAAATGCCGACACAGGTTTGTCTCTGAAGTTGGAAAGCTGAGCGTCTGGGTGCAATACCTAAATCTTCCAGCAGATGGCAGTCACCCCCGGCTTTAGGGAGGCTCTAAATGCAGAGCGCCTGGGGAAAGCGACGTGGACGCGAAGTCAACGGAGCTCCTAGACTCACACTTTCAAGGAACACCTTCACTTCCACTCAAATCCCTCTCTCCATACGAGGCTCAAACTCTGCCCAAGGCATGGCAGGCCGCTTCTGCTGTTCTTGTCTCCCCTGCACACAAACCCTCTGGTTTACCACATCTTTCGAATGTACGTTGGGG